CACTCCCTGCAAACTCTGGTCAAAGTCGCAGCTAAAGGAAAGACTTTGAAGACTGCTCGGCCAAGCCACTGCTTTCAGGCTTTGGTTGAACGAAGAGCCAAAGGAAAGACGTTCAAGGCCGCTGGGCCAAGACACTCCTTCCAGACTCTGGTTGAACTCGCAGCCATCAAACAAAAGACTTTGAAGGCCGCTGGGCCAAGACACTCCCTGCAAACTCTGGTCGAACTTCCAGCCAAAGGAAAGACTTTCAAGGCTGTTGGGCAAAGCTACTCCTTCCAGGCTCCGGTTGAACTCCGCGCCAAAGGAAAGACTCTGAAGGCCGCTGGGCCAAGTCACTCCTTCCAGACTCTGGTCGAACTTCAAGCCAAAAGAAAGACTTTGAATACCCCTGGGCCAAGCCACTTCTTTCAGGCTCTGGTTGAACTCCTGGCCAAAGGAAAGGCTTTGAAGGCCGCTGGGCAAAGCCATACCTTCCAGACTCTGGTTGAACTGTTCGCCAAAGGAAAGACTTTGAAGGCCGCTAGGCCAAGTCACTCCTTCCAGACTCTGGTTGAACAACGTGCCAAAAGAAAGACTCTGAAGGCCGCTAGGCCAAGCCACTCCCTCCAAACTCTCGTTGAAGTCAATGCCAAAGGCAAGGTGCTTGAGGCTGACAAGGTGCCTAAGCGGAGTTGTCTCTTGCAGCCCATCTAGCCGCCGTATCCCCTCAAGAGCCATTGACTCATCACTGTCGACAGTGCATTTATGGATACATCTCCAAGCCTCCTGCAGGTTAGCCACCTCATAGGCGTAGGACAAAGAAGTTGGCTCTCCTTGCACCAGCCCTTCTTCTGCCAGAGTCTTCGATAATGAAAGCTTCTGAGAGCCTTTCATCACAGTGACTCTTGCTCCAGCTTTGAGCGGAAGTCGATTCCGGATGATTCTTCGAAGCTCAGAGCAAGTCAGGGACTTGGGCACTCGGACCTGGAATCCGTCTCCGCCCACGCCCACCACCTGAATTTCCAGTTCTTCATCACAGAGTCGCTGCACCAATTCGCTCGAGAGAATGTCCTTCCGAACTCTCTTCGATGGTGGCTCCAAAGGGCTGACTGCCATTGTCCACGGCCGCCCGCCAGCGGTCAGACCGGTCAGGGACAAGAAAACACTGAAAGTTCAAGTGGGTGACAGACACTTTGTTTATTGAACATGAAGACTATAGAGTATCTAGAGGTGTTGTGTTGTCTATAGTGTGCAGCAACACGATTGAATTATATACTGTATGTGGATTCAAAAGAATAGTTTTCTCTTTCCAGAGGCAACAAGAACGTGACCTTGAGCCAATTACAGTGGTTTGAGAGTGCATGGCACTACACGGAGCTTTATGAGTCAAGCAAATGAATCTATGAATCTCTATGAATCAATCATAGCATATTGCTTTTGTTCCGTCCGACGATCACCTGAAGCAAACCCCCCCCCCAAAAAAAAAAAAAGAAACGGCAAAAAAGAAAGAATGATAAGAAAAGAGAAACTGATCTGATGGCGACAAAGTCCCAAACGCTAGATGTCGAGCGCCGTTTGCCAGCCTTCAAACCCCTCTCGGCAGCCCCCTCCCCCCCAAAAAAAGAGACGCGATCACGATCAGCTCTGCTACGCCGCTCTGGCGCTCGAAGCGCCTGCGCGCTGTTCACCAGGCAGCAGCTGGCAAAGCTAAAGTCCCCGGACCAGCCTGGGTGGCAGACCCGGTGGCAGACTGAAGTGCTTCTGAGAAAAGCAAGGAGAAGATCACACCTACAGAGACACACTCACACACCAACAACAACACTTACTGGCTAGAATAACCCAGTATCGAGCAAAGTGAGCAGCTAGTGAAGTGAGAAACTATTCACGGTTGTATTCGGAAAACTGGGACGGTTTGAGGGCCTCTGGTATAGAGTAATACTAAGGTCACTCTATGTTTTAACCTATGGAATAGAGTCAGGTAACCCCAAGGAAATCCTAAGGTAGCGTGACCCTATCCAACCGTTAAATGTTGGCACGCGGAGTGGCGTTGGTTTCTGGCAGTTTCTGGTGACCCTACAGCTATCGAAAGGTAAAGATAATGTGGTTTCACCGCAACTGCTTGTGGAAAGAACTGGTCACAACTGCTCTTAAAGGGTGGAAGACTTGGAGCTCATACGACCTTCTTAGGCCACGTCGGGTCAAAGACTCTCTTCCCAATCCAGGAATTCTTGGGACATGGATAGGTTGTATTGCACAGAATTCTACGGGTTGGAGCGAATAAGAAAAAGGCCATTACCTCCTCCAAGAGCTTTGTAAGAATGTAATCATCGTTGCGTGCAAAACGAAACTGGACCATGTCCGACCTCTGTTCTCCTGCTTCTTTAGATCCGCGTCCCAAGCTCCATCCGGTCGCCCTTAGCCGGGCGCGCCCTTCTGATCGGCGCAGGCTGCCAAGGTGCATGGATTGGCACCCCCCACAGGCCACACGCCCACGGCATGTAGTAGCAGGGCCAGGAGCCGCGCCATAGAGTGAGAGGAGAACGTAGAGTCACTCTGAGGAAATGGGTAAAACTAGAGTTGGGATCACTCAAAGAATCTAAGAAAACATGAGTCCAGTTTAGCGATGTTCAGTGATGAAACTCTGTGTGCGCGTGCCTTTTGGCACCGTGGGGCCTAGAGATGTTCCAAAACCCTCACAGAACCTGCAGTGAAACTGGAGGTTCAGCGCATCAACCAGAAAGTTGTGTGTGGCTTCAAGGAGCTTGCTCGTTCAAGGACAACCCCTGACAACAACGACCTCTTTCACTACAAACTGTCTCAAGATCCATGGAGAAGCTTATCAGAATGGTCTGAAGCTGGTAAAAGTTCGGCCAATAAATTGGGGCTCCAAAGATTCTACTAATCTCCATCTAATCGAATATTGGTCGGATGTTTGGTTTTGGGAGACTAGCTTTCAACCACATGTTTCCGCGAGATGTGGAAGATCCTCGCTCTCTGTGGGTTTCTGCACCTTGTGACACCTTCCCTACAAGTCAGTTGGACCTCATTGTACTGGAGAAGGTCATACAAAACCAATGCTTAAGCAAGTAAAAGACCAGGTTTTACTGGGTCTTGGGACTTGTAGGCCATGTGTATTTGCAGCTTGGTGCTGGGGCATGTTCCGCTCACATAGTGGCCGGTCGCTGGGCTGTTTTCATGGCCAAAGCTGGACGGCAAGCCACGGGCAGGAGAAATACCTCTGACGCGAGTCAAGGAAAGGTATAAATCAATCCTTGGGAGCAGTCTACCTGGAAACCCAGTCCCAACCAGGAACAAATGAAGCTCTTCCCAAACAGGCGCTTGTAAAGGATCTCCAGCTGGCGCCATATTGGAACAACCACTGGTTGCTGATTGGGGGTGCCACCAGGTATACGCTACCTGGAGGACAACCCTGGATCCCAGATGGTGGGGGCCGCATTGACCCAAACTGCTTGCAGCTGTCCCAGCTGCTTTCACAGAGGCTTGGGTCCATCCTATTCCCAGCGCCCAGTGGATGATGGGGCCCTGCTTACAGAGCCCAGCTTCAAAGAAAACAGCTCCGACCCAGGCGGTGCGTCTTCCCCACCACGATCCATCGAATCGCTCCCAACTGATCCACGCGATCCGTCGAACGATCGAAGGAGACGTGTTCGCTCCGTTGTTCTCAACTCTTGGGGAATACAAAGGGAGGTTGCGGAAGGATCCAGGAGAAATAACTACTCTCCATCTATATAGGAGTATTGAGCATGTATGGGCCAAAATCACTATAGTTACACTCCTGCCTACGAGAAACCCAAGGGAGAGTGACTTGGTAACAGTCGACAAAGACTTGCAGGTTCTAAGTTCCAAGTAGTTTAATCCTGGGGTGCCATAACTACCCTGAAAGATCTTAAAGCTAACTCTGAGAAATAACTACTCATCGCCTGCATCAGCTTTCATGGCTTGTGTATGGATTGAAACGACGTAAAGCCTCAAACCCAATGGAACTTGCTGCAGGCAAACCCCCGATGTCCTCTGTCCACCACTGGTTCCGGAACAACCGCACGCGACCCAAGCGCCGGATGTTGGATTTGGTTGTCAACGTGCAGGGCTGTTGTGAAATTCCCCGATCCAATCCGTCAACCTCCGGGTGATGACAGTATCGAGTAACCACATCGAACACATCATTCCTTGACTCAAGACGAACTCTCGGCTACGGACAACAAGCCAATCTGGGGTGCAGATTGGGTGGGAAAGCTGCTTTTCTTCTCTCCGTCGCTTTGGGAAGGTTTCTATCTATCTATTTACGTCCCGCGTTGGCCAACTTCATTCAACAACCCATCGGTCGCTCGTGCCGTGTCGCTAAACCGAAGCGAAGGCGCGTTTCGCTTACCGAAACGTGTCTCATCTGTCCACCGTCACCTCCATGGGTCGAAACACGGCGAAGGCGCCCGCACCTCATGGGCTCCGCACCTCGGCCGCCGGCCTCGGTGGCCCGAAAAAAGGCATTCCGGAAGAGAGTGGGGGGGTGGCCGGCCTGGATTGAGGAATGAATGTCAGGTGAGAAAGAATGACTCAATGATCTCAGTGAGTACTCAATGATCTCAATCCAGGTACCGGCGTTGCTGCTCTCACTGTTCAGCTTGCCCAAAAAAAATGGAAGCGTTCACGTACCAGAAGAGATTGAGAACCACCAGTCAACTGCCCTGAATGTGACATGTGACATGTACACTGCTGTCCATCTGTATTTGTGCACTTTTTGTGCCAAACTCTCCGTCGACGTCGACAGGACTGGGCCACAACCTGGGCCACAACCTCGAAGTCAACGTTCGCAAAACCTCGACGTCAATGTGTGCCCGATGGTACGGGACGAAGTCATCGACTCAGAGGTTGAAGGACCCGACTCTTCGACTATCCCAGTTGGGTACCCCACTAGGGCCTAGGGTCCCTTAAAGGTCACTGAACCTCTCTTGGTTGCCACTGACTCAACGACTGCGAAACTCGCCCACCCGGAACTCCAATCGCAGCCCAAGCGTCGCTGGGCGCAGCGAGCAGTACGGCGTGTGCGGCGTGTGTAGAGCAGAAGCTAAGCAATGAGGGTTGGATTGATTTTCTTCATCCGCTGAATAGTGTGAGAAAATTATCTGAAGTCAAACATCTCTTAAAGATGTTTGCTACTTTTAAGCTTGGGAAAATCATGGCGTGTCTTGAACGAAGTGGCGATGGCAAAGGTAACTGGAGCTCTGCAGAGACGTAAAATCATTGGTTTCACCAAGCGACAAGGTTGAAAATACAGAGGCCTCAGGACTTCACAGGGAGAATTGCTTGGGGGTATCCCTAACTATTTTGTTTCTGAGGTTGGTCTGTTGTAGGTGCCTTTTTTTGTCCTGCAATGTGATCATGCAAATGTCTCTCCACGTTGCCCCTATGTTCTTCACGTGGGTTGGGATCTGTCATGGTCGAACCAAACCCGAAGAAGCCTGAAATGGGTATTCACTAAATGCATACACAGAACACGTGGAAATACACAGAACTTTAGTATCGAGGCTTCACACACCCACCCAGATTCAGAAAGACCGATCAAGTGGGTTCCTTTTTTCTCCAAACAAGTGGCACCAGCCATCCACATAACCATGACGATGTCAAGGAGTGTACATAAGGGGTTCTTGAGCCATGTACCCGCCCAATTCTCTCGTGACACCCATGGGTTTTCCACTTTCCACTGATGGATTCCTTCAGGGCTGAACCGAGTCATGTGTGTTCGTCGCCGGGCTGGATGGACCCGAATCCATGTGCCGAGGAGTCATCCGTATGTCGCCGTGATGGGATGTCCATGAACCGTATCTTTGCCGTATCATTGTCCAAAAAAAAAAGAAACACCTCATGATTGCCAGTGATCTTGGGATAAAATGATGTGTTGAAAAGAAAAGACCACCAACCACCGAAGACCCCCCAATGATATCAATCACCAAACAAAACCTTGGTGGATCAACCCACCGAAAAACGCGCCCCTTTTGGGCGCGCGCGGGCGCTGGGCGACTCCCATTCGTCCCATGCAGAAGGTTAAACGACCAGGGCAGAGCGCAGCAAGCCCTTCCCAAAGGCCCTCACTGCATCGAGCCGCAGTACTCTGTTCACCCCGGGATGAAGCAGCTCGAAGCCCATGGAGTGCGGACCTCCGGCGAATGTGGGGCTGATCGAACCATTTATACAAGGGTTTTCAGGGCACCGACACGCCAACAGAAAATGGACCTCATGTTATTTTTTCATCAGACCACACGGATGGATGAGGAATGGGACGGATGCTTACATTGCAATGTACATGTTCATGGGTCATGTTTCATGACCGGCTCTGTTCTGTCATGCAACCTTCACCGAGCTGCTTCGAGGCGGTAAGCGCGGGACCCCACCGAGGTGGGTGTTTATCCGATGGTTGCGCGCATGGGATACGATCCTCATGCCCAGATCTTCCAACTATGCCACATTTCTGCCTGTTCATCCATCAAACCAGCCCAGTCAGGCAAAAAATTGGCATGGTTGGAAGATCTAGGTACATATGACTCATTTGAGGGAGGGGCCTAACGAGGGACGTAGCCATCCCCATGACACACGGGGAAGTGCTCGTGATCTTCCGGGTCTTCTCCTGCTCAAGATCGAGAGCGTCATGAGAGCTCATTGAAACAGAAAAAACAGAAAGGTCACACGTCCGCGGATCCATCCGTCACACGTCCGCCAGCTGTATTGTCTCAAGCGCCGATCCTTTCGGCCGCTTTTCTGGTGCGGATCCACGGTGCCACCGCTGTCGCCAGCTATCGCCAGCTCGCAAAGCTCAAAGGAAACTCTGGCTGTCGCAGCTACAAAGCCTCTGCTTTGGCAAAGCAAAGGCAAAGCGAAGCCCAGAAGTATCTGGATGTCCGACCTCAGTTCTCTGGATGGGCACGTGGTGGATCTCAGTCGGAGAAGTCGGATTCTGTCTGGTTAATTACACCCCGCATCATCTTCAGGGCCCTTGTGGCCACCACGAGCATCATCTGGGCGAGTTGGTACTTCGCCTGCTTTCCGCTTCTTGTTTTCTCCTCCACCTCCACGACGCATGAGACGCTTTTTGGGCCCGTTCTCGATCCGACAGTTCAACCAAACATCATTTCGCAGGATGCTGATGGTTTCCTCGAACCATTCTTTGTACCGCTCGGACGTATGGGACGGAAGGAAACACACCAAATGGTCTCCAGGCAAAAGAAGGGTGCTGGTCGTTTCGGGAATCTCGCACAACCCATCCCCACCGGTATGCACAACCGCAAGGGGGCTGATGTTGAAGTTGTGGCGCATGTTCAGCGCGAGTACGTCGACGTCGTCAGGCTTCAAAGTCGTCTTCTTGTAAAGGTTCATTGAGCTCGCTGCCTTTTCACGGAATTCCTTTGTAAGGAATTTATTTGTGCAAATCGAGGCCGGCTTTGAGCACTTATACGGAACACGGACACAAGGGAGAAATTCGCAGGTCAAGTCTTCGCTTTTGATGCCAATCGCACTCGTAAATGTCGAAAGATCGTTTGCAGCATCTTGGACACGAACAGCCATGGTCTCTTCATTGATCTTCCCCAGGTGTGGAATAATCCAACACTCGTCACCTGCTTCAGAGATGGTCAAACCAAAAGACTGGGGGCTTCTTCATTGTCTCTCAGCCTTCTGAACTTAGCTTTTGGGTGGTGCCACCTGGTACGAACCCAGGGTAAGTCAATCTCTATGAGACAAACAATGGCCGCCTCGGCCTCGCCAAAAGGATGTCGCAATCTACAACCCTCGGACGTCTTGGTTCAAAGCAATGTGCTACATAATCCGTTGGCCCTTGATATCTTCTGGTTGTTCTGGTTTCTTCAATGTGACTACCAAGCTAAAGTGTGACTCTTCAAGGTCAAGATGCCTCTCTTCAATTCGTGTTTGGGGCCCGGGTAGACGATGTCTTTGTCTTCACAGGTAGGGCCAGGGTCAGTCTTGTCGACACGCCGAATGCGCGCGATCTTCACACCAAACCTTCCGGTAGAATCCAGGTCCACAAGCCTGATTTTGCCCAGATTCTTGCCTTGATCTTTGCCGTCACCTTTGCCCTTTTCGAAAGCAGGGCAATCCTCCGGCACTCTGAAATAAAGTGTTGGAACATTCACCTTCTCCAGCTCATCCAGTCGTCCCGACATGAGCCAAACGGACACGCTGCGACCCTCCGACCCCCGCAGAGCTGCAAAGAGCGTCGCGGATGTCGCCGCGGATGTCGCCCGAACTCCTGCGATTCGCCGTACCCTGTCTCTTTGCCGGCCCGCCTTTTTGAAAGAAATGGGGAAAGACCTGGTGGGAGGAAGAAGGCGGTAAAAACATGGCGATCTTCGGGATTCAGCCCCATTGAAGCAAAGGTTTGCCCCATAAAATCCTATTTGGGGCACAAGTCCAAGTCCCGCACAAGAATATTCAATGTAGACTCTTGATTCAGAAACCCTCCCATTTGAATGCACTCAGTCCTCTTCATGTGGGGGTATTACTCATCAAGAGTCTACCCGTTTGACTCAGGTATTCTCTCCCCACATCGGACTCATGGACTCATGACGAGCCAACGAGTCGCACGACTCTCACCGACCGGCCGGGCTTCTCGCAGTCGTCACGACAGACCTACATGGGTCAAGTTACATGGTGGACCAGGACTGGTCGGGCTCCAGGTCCTTGTCCCCCCATCCCCCATCCTCTGTTCCATCCCGAACCGCCTCTCCGACTCATGGGCCGCCAGGCGCGCCAGGCGCCAGGCGCGCCAACCGCACCCTCTTCGGGTGGGCCTCGGGTGGCGGAAGCCCGCCGGGTGCGCCCGGAGCTTCGGGCGGCGGCGGAAGGCCATCGTGGCTGGAGACTCGGAGGAGGACAACGACAGATCTTCGGGAACACCAAAATCACCCGACAACATCCTGCAACCTCCTGCGCAGCCTTGGCTGGGACGACACCGACGGGTGTCCTTTTTTCCGGCCTGTGAGGAGTGCCACACATGACGCGGCTCGGTACCCAGTGGTGGCAGATGAACCACGGCCAAGGCTGGCAGATGGCCAAGAAAGACTACTGATCACATGTAACAACTGGGCTTGAACTGACCCGAACAGCAGAAATTTGTCTACTTGAAAGGCTACGAAAGTTTGCCACCCCCCGCCTTATTGAAATGGACAAAACTGCTCACATTTGTCTTGAAACTTCTCTTCATGCTTTGAGTGACAAGGCAAACATAAACCCCCAAAAAGGTGCACAGACCAAACACGATCAATTCCCACAAACTTCACCAATCTCGGACTCTCAGGTTCTCGGACGGAACGAGCTGGAAACATCTGTGCTCCCAGTTTCCCACCAGCGAAGATCTGTCACCATAGCCCAGACACAACCAATGGGACTGCCAGTCCGGACTGCCGCCCCAGACAGACCCCCCCCACCGACCCACTCCTGGCCGTTTTGAAGGCAGTCCGGACTGGCAGTCCCAGACGGGTCGCCTCTGGGATTGCTTCGGGTCCGGACCCGAGACCTTGAACCACCGGCCCCCTGCGTCGGGAGCTCTGCCCGGTCTGACGAACATCCCAACTAAAGAGGTCTCTGACCAGGTATCCACCAGGGACCCTCGGTTCGGTTCGGCTGTTTGGAGACCCCCTAATCCGGTGGTTTATCCGGTGGTTTCTGGGCATTGGTTGGAAACGAAAACACCTGTTGGAGGGTGACAATGTGACCTTTTGGAACCCATCGCTGGCCTCACCCATCGCTTCTGGCCGGAGAAGAGTCGGACAGAGACACTGATTGGGATGCTTCGGCTGCCTTGCTGGATCAAGCAATAAGCTGCCTTGCTTTGCAGTCGTTCAACTCGGATCTGTGGACAGTTGCAAACCGTTGAAGGCCGTTTTTGAACCAACGAGCGTGACGAAACAGTTCCATTTTTGTTCACTTTCTGGCCATCCGAGTCTGGCCTTGGTAAAAAAAACAGTTCCTTCAAACTGCAAAACAGTGGAGTGTTTGTGCTTGTTGGAGCCGCAGGCTGCGGCGAAAAAAACAAGTGAGTTTGTGCTAATCAGCACCCGGCACTTGACAGCTCTTGCCACCCGGCACCCGCTCCTTGAGTTCGTTCACTGCCTTGCACTTGATCCTATGAACTATGGCAAGTGCACCTGCAGGAAACCAAAATCAACAAGACTCCGACAGAAAATTCACAGCACTAAGAACTTCTTTCGCAGCATTGGCCCGTAATCTCAAAGACAATGTTTGTGAACCCCTATAGGATCCTAGGGAGTTGAGCCGTTTGAGTCTGTGGGGTTCTATGGCTGCGATGATTTTTTAGGAGTAGATATATATATATATAACTATAGTGATCATCCACATGACTAGATTTCCAATCTTAGCCATATCTTCTGTGTCTCCGAAGCAACCTCTGTCGTTGCTTCCCACAAAGGAGGCATTTGCCACTTCCCATGTCCCCTTTCCAAACGCCGTCCTCCCGTCCTCGTCCCTCCCGTTCGACCTCATCTGTCAACGAGAGGTCGACCTCTCGTTGCAGTCACAGCCATCCCTTGTCGACTCTCGACGATCGACTCTGTCGACAGTGTCTGGACATCCCTGGGAGCGACTGGTCGTGTCCACCCCTTGCGGTTCTTCAGTCGTCCGCCGAGTGGGAGCGACTCTCCACCTTTGCGAAGATCAGATGCCAAAGGAAGACCCGAAACAAGCCAAGATCAGCACAGAGTGAAGAAAGCGAAGAAACCGCAGGGTGTACTTGGGCGAACTTGTGTCGCATGTCTTCCATGTTCTGGGTTCTCCATCGCGGAAGGAGTGGCCTCCAGCCTATGGGTGATGAGAATTCAGCTGTACAGACTATATAGGGCTGCTTCAGGAGATTGATCTTACATTGAATCAATTCGCACCCTCTTCCCACGTCGTGAACCCCGTTCGTCGTGATCCCTCACCACACCTGATCGTTGAATCCGAATGAAGCGACTGGTCCCTCCCAAGTGCGGATTTGTTTACCATCGTGAAGTTGCTCTGAGGCTTAGAGAGGACCACCACCCAACGACGTCCGTGAACGGAATCCAGCCAGCCAATCCCCAGAGCGGGGACCTGTACAAGACGACCGCGTGCTTGGCCAAAGCGTTACAAATCGGTGGCCGAGCAACGTGCCGTGATCGAGCAACGCAACGAGAGGTCTGGGATGAACATATCCCGAGCATGAGTAGTATATGGGCGTTCGTATGTGGGCGGTGGAAGCGCTCGGTCAAACAATTGCTTCGCTCGGGTGTGGCATCTACGTTGTTCGGCGCTCGGTCACGAGACAGGATCGAGAAGGTTCTGGCTCGACTGGAGGTTGGAGGTGAGTGGAGATCCTGGAAAGACCAGTGGTTGCTTGGGAGAAAAACAACATGGTTTCTCCCTAAGAATCATTGGACCCGACCACTTCTGGAGGGTTTTGACCCGCAAAGAACGCAGGGGGGTTGGACCTGAACCAAACCTTCACCGAACTGAGGGTCCTTGATTCTTAGGGTTGATTGTTTGGGTTTCCAGGTATACCTGAAAAAGACATACCGATATGATAGAATTATCCAAGAAATACCGAAAAGGACATGATGTTTCTTTGAGTAGTCCTGGATTGGTTCAGGGTTGAGATGCAACTGATGCAACGGTCGCTCTGGGGATGAAGAACACCCGCGGACCTCACGTTGACTGGCCGTAAGGGCCATCATTCGGACCGCAAAAACAGCGGCAGCTATGCTAGATACTGAACCCTTGCCAGGGCAGGCCCCAAACACTACCACGCGACGTGTCATGCTTCATGTTTCTGTTGAATATGATGCTGTTCCACGATTGCCACGATTGCCACGAGTGAGCCGTGGATGAGGTGCAACTTCACTTGTGGGCTTTGGTGGAAGGGGGGCAATTTTTCACTTGTGGAAAATCGGCATCGAATTCCCATCGTTCGCAGGGAGATCCAAGTGCTCTCAGAGGTCAGAACCTGGTAGCAGCACCCCGCGCCACGGGAATTCAAACAGAACGCGTGGATGTACCACCTGCTATTAGCAGAACGTCCGGTTTGACTCATGAACTACCCTACCGGGTTGTTATAGTCATAGTTCCACCACTACCATGCTGCCATTGTGGGGAGCTAGTTCATGAGTCATGGACTCATTCCGAGTCAAATGAGCCATCCACCCACAAGGACCTCGTGCCGGTGTGCCGGTGCCGTCCTGACCCGAACAGCGTGCATCGTGCCGTCCTATCACTAAAACGGGCCTCGTTCACCGGGTACCGTTCGGTCTATCAAACCAGCTTCTTCAGTACGTGACCTTTCTGGAGTCCCCAAGTGACCTCAACCAGCATGTCAAAAGGTCACTTTGAAGAACCAGGAAGAACATTCCCCAGTTGTACTGTGCTCCCAATCCAAACCCACGGCCACACCGGGCCACCTTCCCATCGTTCGCGCGCACTAGCTGCGCCACGCAATGGTAGCCCGCGCGCAAATCGGCCACCGCGCGCGCGGATCGGAGAGGACGCCTGGCAGCCAGACCTCTCTCTAAGGCTCATGGACTTTCCGGGTTCGGAAAGGGGGCTCAGAGATGATCTTGCAAGTCCTGCTGTGTTTTCATCACGCCTGGCCGCGCGTGACGTCGGCGCGTGTGCGCGGGCGGTGCGCGGTGAAGAAAGCTGCAAAAGACTCCGGCCTGCGATGCTGAGACCCTGTAAATCGACTTGATGATTGCAGGAACATCTCAAGTTGGATTTAAATGATGCTTTTCCCAAACGACCGCTTGTCATCTAAAGGATCTCCAGCTGGCACCATTATTGGGTTCGAACCATTTGTTTCTGGTTGGGACTGGGTAAACTGAGGCAGATCTCTGCATTCAGAGGCGTTTCTGTCGGAGAGTCAACCCATCAAACCCTCTTGGTTGGACTGCGGCTGGAGCGACGAAGAACGACGTGATATTATGGCTGTGGGTCAAAACCGGGGCATGTGGGTTTGGCCACCGGTCATGAATGGAATAGACTACCTGGGAGGTCAACCTACAAGGGTGCCAGGGGTTCCGGCTTTTGACTCGCAGCTTCAGTTCTCACCCAGACGCTCCAAACACACCTTGGTCACCTTGCTCCCTCAAAACCATACGGATCCATGTCCGGACCCCTGACCCGTTCGGATTCGGCCACGGCCCCCAGTCCCTTCGAGGGTCCAGGGTGCGCGTTAACGGACAATTGGTTTACAGTGAACGGACAATTCCAGAGGATTTCCACAGATGTTTGCTGAATCAAGTGTCCAACTATCCTGAACAATTAGGTGGCCGAACGCACGTCTGATCTTCGATCAAGTTTGTACCATGGAAAGATGACCTGGAATCAGACTGCGCTGTGCCCCACTCCCTCGAAAAAAGATGCAAAATAGTCCGAGGATGTGTAGACTGTATCCTCTACGTGCCAAAGTGTCTTGCTCTTCTTTTCGTGAACCAAAACACTCCCCACTGCCAACCCAGCTCAAACATGCACCCCAAGCAGTTCTCGACTCCTCCCAGCCCCCCTTCCCCAGTCTCCACGTCCACGCGCCGAGCTCCACGAGCTCTGCTCCGGTTGGCGGTGCCTGTATAGTGCTGCTGCGAGCGGAAGGTGCTCCGCCCCAGCAGCCGCGGGGCGACGGGCGACCCCTCGCGATCCAGGCGCTGCATAAGTTCCTGCGGCGGTCCGAGGAGGGCCGGCAGAGCGCCCCGGTCCGACGGGGGCCGACGGGGCCGGAACAGATGCCGGTGCTTGTCTTGGAAGGACGACGACGCAAGACCGGGAGAGGACTTCACCAGGTATACTGGAAGAGCTGGAGACTGAACAGTTCAAGGTCAAGGTGATCCAAGGGCTTCCTAGGAAAAACCGATCCAAAAAACCGATCCCAAACCATCCGAAGGAAGGGGGCGCGAGTGGTCAAGCCATAGGCTGGAAAATCCACGGTCGCTTTACCAAGGGTTTTCTCGAATGCCACGCAGAACACTGGAACTTCTTGCTACATCTTGACACCCGAGTCCCCAAGTCCCCGGGGGGGCGTCGGGGTAAAACCCGGGTGTGTGTCCTTCGGTGCGGCTAGCCTCGTGCGGTGCGGCTTTTTGTGGAAGGAAAGGTCGACCCTGAGAGAAAAGACGAAAGGGACTGGGCAGTCTCCTGACGTTTAAAGGCCAGGGGGTGGCTGATTGATTGAAAAGGGGTCAATGGAACGTAATTATTCCAGTCCCATCAAGTGTCTGGAAGGCATATTGACCCCATCACAATGACCCTATAGCAAGTTAACTATTCCGGTCCCATGGAGGGTCTGGCTACTGAGAACTAGAAATCAGATGGAGCATTCGAGCGGAGGCCAGTATTCAACCAGTGAGATATGGGGCACTGCTGGTCATTAACAGTTAAACAGAAACACAATCTTTGAGTGTTGATAAATAGGACACCCCGTGATAAATCCCATCAGGAGGCGTTCACAAATCTTCTCAATTAGTCAACACTGGAAGCAAGCACCGCATGTTCAAACAAAAATCAGACACTCCTTTTTTGTGCGCGCAACTAGACCTTTGGACATCTGCCTCGCCCAAACACACCAAATTCGTTTGTGAGCGTTCAAAAGATGTGTGCATCATCCCATTCTCAAGGCGAAAGTATACAACAGCACCCTCCAACAGGTCACCAATGGAAACCTGTTAGGGCCTAACAAGCCTCCAAAGGAGACCTGTTGGAGGGTGCTGGCAGTCATGACATGTCTGTGTCACATGGGCGTGGGAAACGAAACAGGAAGCAAATGCGGAAACGACTCATCCTCGGTTCGTTTGGGATGGTCTGGGGGCCTACTAAGAGGAAAGAACATGAGCCATGCAGTTGGAACGTGAGTTGGCGTGAAAATGGCGTGGAGGTCGTCACCCCCAATTGTTTCTCGAACTTTGCACCTTCGCCCTGTGAGGTCGTCCGTTTCTCCGAACGCGGACAAAGAAGAGAAAATCGATCCCTTTCCTTCTGCGATTCTTTCAAAAAAAGAACCACCCACCCCCGGTCCCCGGTCCGGTCTCCTGCACTCGCACCTGGAAGGAGCCGTTCGCTGCATCCAGCACCGTCTTAATGCCTTGGCTGGGCGGGCCAAGCACCGGGCGAGATCTCGTCTCCGGTCTCGTGGTCATGTGGTCGAGGTTGGAAGGGTCAGGTGGTCGAGGTTGGAGCCATTTTGGACGGATTCGACGGCGTTGCAAGGAGGTGACCTATAGCCAGTGTCCTCAGGCAGTGTCGTAATGAAACTGGAGCACCCATCCTAGAACTCTCACCACAAAAAATACCACAGCCCACACAACGTGACGCACGTATCACGCCTCTTGCGCAACGCGACTACGACCCGCTTCAACCAGGCAGCACTCTTTGGCGAACTTGTTCACCTCTGCAAAGCCACCCGGGACCGTCTCAATCACACACGCGTCGATCATGATCTTGTCCTCGACCGAGGTCCCGACCCCGACCCAGCTGGGACCGACCGGTCCCGGCCGGGCAAGAGCAAGAGCATGCTGAACACCAGCCGGTGGGAGCTGGGTGAACGTTCACCCTGTTCACCCCTGTTTGAACATCCGCCAGCGACGGCCCGAGTCGTGTAGCTTGACGCTCGAACGCGAACGTGACACGACGTGTCGACGTTCGGATGTGTCACCCCTGTCGCATGGGGAGAATGGGACCAGGTTCCAAGTTCTTGAAGGGGGTGGGGGGGCGAAAAGAATCCTCCACCCCAGGCCCCGGACGCTCCGTGAACGACGCCCGACCGGTCCGGACCCCAAAAGCCAAAGAAAGCGCCAGGCTCGGCTCGGCTCGGATCAGCCGCTCCTCCACGCGCGAGGCTTCGGCATTTTCCAAACCTGGCGATGCTGGCCGGCGCCACGGGCGATGCTGGCTGAAGCTTAGAGTTTTCTCCTCTTATTGAACCAAGGGTTCCACCTCCAATCCAATCCAATACAATACAGCTCTCCTTTCACGAGTCATTTGGAAGCATGTGGTTGTTCTTCTTTTTTTCTTCTTCTCCTTCTTCTTCTTCTTCTCCTTCTTCTTCTTCTCCTTTTTATTTCTTCTCTTTTTCACAAATTTTCATTCACTCTCATCACCATATAACACACAGTGTCGCTTCACCATGTGCCACCATCCTGCCATCTGATCCCACCCCCGAGCTCGCCACCGAATCTCGCCGAGGAGCGAATCTCGCCGACCTTCTCGGCCAAGCGCACCACGGTGTCCACATGGGCATTGCCCCACTGGAGCACCCCGCTGGGTGTGCAGAGCAGCAACCCCTGGCGACCCGACCCACGACCCCGTCGACCCACGACGGTCGACCGCGTCCCTCGGGTCGGCCGTGGACCACGGCCGACCACAGAACCGGAAGATGGTTGGTGGGTGCAACGTGAGTTCCTCCTGTGTCCTGTGTGGCAAAAAATGCTCTTGAATCATTGAAGGAGGTTACGACGGTGATCCCTGAAATGGGTCATGTTTGATCCAAATAGAAACAGTTGAGATGATCCATGGCTTTGCACCCTATTACAAATGGTGCTGTATGTGTACTATATGGTGAATGAAATGACGACTGAAGGACTCGTAAAATGGCATTGACTAAAATAACTTCGGGCCAGTGTACGGTGGAATATTGGGAGGTGTACAGGGCTGAGCGGGCTGAGCGGGCGCACGGGTGTGCGGGAACCAGCGCGCAAGCCCCTAAGTGTGCACCGGGTGAGCGGAGGGACCGCAGAACCGGAGACGATGATGACATGGTAACTCATGATGATGATGATGATGATGATGATGATGATGATGATGATGATGATGATGAGGGTGGATGACTAATGACTGATGACTGATCACTGACAATATATGATGAACGTGCTGACAAGGAAGAGGAAGTTGGTAGTTGTTCTTTGAGGAGATTCCTTTACAGGCACATGTTAATGTTCATCATTTCATAAGGCATACGTGTCATTCATATATCCATAGGGGCACTTATTCCAACAGGTGAGACACCCACCCAACCCCGCGCATCTCCAACCCGACCTTCGTCGCCTCAACGCGAACCACCCCCGGACCTTCGACCGGTTCACGGCGCCGCCGGTCGCCTCGTAGCCGCTCTTGAGCCTTGGCGCCACGTAACGCGTCTGGAGGAGCTCGAACAAGCACCAAGAGCGCTGCCTCGCTGCAGAAGGAGGCCGCTCACTCTACGCGTGAGCGAGTTCGGGTGCTTGGGGACGCACCCTCGGGGTGGAGGAACCTGGAGGGATGCCGAACCGTGGCGGGCGCTGGGTTCGGAACTCGGGGGCCTTTGCGCGACACCAGTCGGACAACTTCAGGGGGTCCATCCTCAAAACTGAGTCAGCGTCCACAAGGCACCATTTTTTCGATCTGGTTTTGATTTGGAAGGATTCATTTACGTCCACTTAAACCAATTGTGAAGAACACACATGGCAGGCAGAGGCCTCAGAGTTGCAGGTTCCATGTTGGAATCAGCCGATGTACACTTCAATTCCCAGCCCCTTCAAACACGTATGAAAATGGCAAAGTGTCAAAGCCTTCAATTTGTTTGCTAAAAAAGACATGACCAACCCATCAAAACTACATGGATCTCCCAGGAATGGTAGAGCCGGAACCCCCCACTGCATTTCCGGCTACACGCTCAGTGGGCAGGAGCCCATTGAATTGAAGAAAAGAACAGCCGCCACGTCTCTCCCATCTTCGCCGGGCGGCAGCGGCACGCAATCGTTGTCCAGTACCATCGCGGTGCCGTGGCACTCGGGACTCTGCAGCGCCAAGTAGAAGGAACTCTTCAGCGGGTCCCCATCCCCGAGCTCCTCCTGTTGAAAGAATTGAGAAGGGGCCAGGGACAACCAGCTAAATATATATATATATACACATTATTTATATCTATATCATATCTGTATCTATATGTATGTATGCGTGTTTGTCATTGTTTGTCCGTCTTGCCGCGCAGTGTCACGCATTTTGACGACTGCCTACCAACGAGCCTGGCTTAGGCCACGCATGGCTCCGAAAACAACTCTCATCACTTGAGTGTCCTGGACTTTGAACTGGTTGTTGCTGAAAGAACAAATCCTGAGAGCGAAGCGAAGGAGCTTTTTCGGCCATGCTTCGCGCCCTCTCCCGGTCCGGCTGCGGAAACATCGCGACACTGCTTTTCGGCTAGATTGGCCAAAGAACGCCGCTCCAAAAAGAAAACTGGCAGCCATATACCCCCTCCCTCACACCACCTTGTGATACAAACAAATCCGGACAGCCCACCAGCATGCGAGCATCGTGAAAGTCGCGTTACAACATGTTAGGCAAATGACCGAAAGCCTGTCTTGGCCGTCTGCTGTTCGAGGACTACATCGCCGTGGATGGATCATTGGTTGGCGGCTTTCTTCTTATCATCGTACAAGACTTGGTAATTAAAGAGGAAGTGGCGACCTTAAAACTAGATCAAGCTAGGGATCCAACAAACCCAGCCAACTTGTCTTCTTACCTCTACAAATGGTTATATATAATGAATGCATCAACATTCCAATCGTTTGATCAATCAGGGATGAGGCTGATTTATCGAATCCTGCCCAAAAAGCACACATGTATCACATGTCCAGTCTGCGCAGCCCCTCAGATTTATTTGCATGAAGTAGGATTGGGCGCTGAAGGAGTTGGCTCTGGCGCAGCAAAATCAAATCACCCGAAGCTTATTGGTCCAAGGATAGACACTTCACCTGCACATGTGGTCAAAAAACATGTGAGCGAACACACCCAGCTGGACTGCAGCCTCAGTTCCTTCCTCCCAAGTGAGACGCGGGAACTTGCGTGGTCGCTCTGAACGGCTCCCTGTTTTTTGGGGGTTCACATCAGGACCTCAACATCCTCAAGAGTTCTCACCAAAAGCAACCCCACAGAGCCTTTTTGAAGGGTCGTTTTCCCTCGTTGTCCCACTTTCCAAGCTGTCCCCACCTTGCAAAAAAAGAAAGAAACCTTATTCTCCCCGGGTCACGGGTCCGCGGCAGTCGGTCGAGCGCAGTCGGTCTCCCGCCGTTGCGGGTGGGGACCGAGGCCGCCCGTCTCAGAGACGACGCGCTTAAGGACCGAGTCGGACGGAACGAGCGGAGTTCGCTCTGTCCTGGCGAGAGAACAAAGGACACGAGAAGAGGGCATCGAAGCTGCAGCGACTGATTGTGATCGAGGGGAGACCTTTCAGTAGTATGGCTCCGGGTCATGGCGTCGACGCCGCACTAAGCCCTGACCCATATAGCCAGTCACGCCAGATCGAACCCCCACCGTCGGAGGAATCCAAGTACCGACCATCGACGTCAACCCTCAACAGCGCACAAAGCCGTTGAAGGACAACCCTCCACCTCTCCAGCGGTTCAGCTCTTAGCCAAGGCTCCAAAACGTGACTTTCCGCCACTCACAGCACGCCTGGCCAGATGTGGTTTGGGGGGTCTTAGTCTTCCTTGGGAGTTGTATCTTGGCGGGAAGAAAAGAGCCAAGAATCGCAAAAGGAACTGCGTAGACTCGTGTAGACCCCCAAAAAGAAGTCCACTTAGTCCACTTCGATGATCTTTGGCACCACCCAAGCGTTCAGAACAACTCCTCATAGTGGTCGACCATTCTTTTTGAAATGGTCAACGAGAGTCGGGTCTTCATCCTAAGCTCCCCCCGATGGACCGAAGCTCCATCCGGACTCGTCCAAACGGCCCGAGGTCCCACGGCGGCCCGGCAAAAGCCCCTGCGAATGGACTCCCGAGCCGGAGTCTTTTTTCTGCACGGATCTCACCTGTCACAACTCCATGACTCACCTGTCGCAGTCTCGCGTCCGTCGCGTCGCGAGTCCGGAGTCCGCCTTGCCCTGCGCCATGTTCCGCAAGCTGTGGAAGAAGTCCTCGAAGGTGTTGCTCCAGCAGTGGGACACCTGAGAGAAGGCGCATTCCGGGTTGGAAAAAAGCCAGCGCGACCGCCGAACACTTTCTTTCTTGGGGCAGAGGGCGTTTCTGCATCCAAGGGTCTCCGCAAACCATCAAACCTGGGTTTGCCCTTGCAAAAACACATTATGTGTGGTTTTTGTATGTGAACACCATCATTTTTCATGGATTCGAGGGCCGCTGGTAGTGATATCATCAGGGCATCAGGGCGTTGAAAATGCCTTCAAAGGAGTTTCATACAGCAGGTTGCGGAGCAGGAAACGATTATGACTGGGACTTTCTATAGACTTCACAAACGCCACCAGGAGGTGTGGGTCGCCCGCACTGCTCGACCTCCACCCAAACCAACACGTCCCATCCGACGCACCCGTCGACGCTCCGTTCACAGCCGCCCCGGCTGGTCGATCGACGCTCCGTTCGGGGACCCTCAGCCCCCTCCCAGACCCCCTCCCAGACCCCCTCCAGGGTGGCATCTGGGGTCGGTCCCGAGAAAAACACGGACCTTTTGTCAGTCACGACCGAAAGGGGGTGGACAGCGAGCGAGGACGAGTCCCTCACCGCAGCACAGGCAGGGTGGACTCCCTCCAGTGGTCCGAACTCCCGGCGCGGGGGTGGTTGATTGACCACATGGAAACTGACTCATCCAAGTACCTGGAACCCCACTGACCCCTGTTTTGATAGGAAAAGGCCATATTTTGGGTGGTTGGTGGTCCAAAATAGAGGTCATTCAGGTTCTAGGTATATATAAGTACCTGAAGTACCTCTTCCCGTTCCATGGAGGGTCGCCCCGTTCAGTCGCTGTTCATCGAATTCGCGTGTGGATGAGCTCGGGGAATACGTCGCAAGGCCACTCCAAAGCAACCAAGAGGGGTGGAGCGTGACTGGAACGTGACGATCGGTCACCTCATTCGATATAGGGATACTCGAGCGTGACCGGGTCCTTCCCAAACAAGCTCTGAGCTTCGAAGAAAAAGCTCCACATGGGCACGAGCAACCAACTCCACAACCCACCCAACAACCCACCAGCCGATTGTGTTCGGTTTTTCCACAGATCGGTCCACATGGTCGGTCTCTGCTGGTCACGAACATCGCATGCTATATATATAAGGGTGGACGGGTTCGGTCCGCACCGGCCGGTGGGTGATTCCGAAAGGAAGCAGCTGGCACACACATGGAAGCTTTAAGAGCTTCCTCACTACTCCGAACGAAAAGTGGCACGCTGGTCCTTTTCCCTTCGCTCACTGCCACAGATCACTATCACTGCTCTCTCCTGAACTTGGCAGCTGCTGTGAAGCTTCAATCCGCCAAACTCCCCAAGAACGGTGTCCACTGGGACGACCTCCTCGGCAGCTCTGCGATGAGCTCTGCCGTGAGGAGCTTCACACTGCCGTGACCGGTGGCCACTTGTCTGGGTTGACGCTGGCAGCTCCTGGTGGCTCCACGTGATCCAATCACTCAGCTCCAGGTGATCCAGGCGAGCTTCGGAGACAAGCTCCGGAGGTCCTCAGATGCGCTGCAGCTGGGCATCGCTGCTGCTGGCGACCAGGCGGACGAGATCACACCGGCAGGTGGGCATCTCGTCCCAGCGCGAGAAGCTGCAGGTCCGGGGCGCATGAGGGCAGAAGCGCAGGCAGAAGCTGCTGCGCACCTGAGGGAAGAAAGGCAGAGGAGGAGGCGGAGGAGGTGGAGGCGGTGTTCTACAACGACTTGGTGGGATCGAAGTGCTGAGGAGCCAGCTCACATGTATGCGAAATGGCCAGGTTCGGACCCCCCCCGATGCGAAGCCAGAGAGGTTGGAGCCAACTCCTAAGGAAGACCACGAGGTGCGTCCGGATGTCCAATGGAGACCTATGGTACTGGGGGCCCCCCAAAACATCAAAAATCCGAGTTTTGCAGAAAGCACCAAAAACACATGGTTTTTGTATGTGATTTGTCATGGGTTTTCTTGGGGTGGGGTGGTCCAACCTAGACCCGTTCTTGGCGAGGAAACCAGAGCCCGGCATGCCGGGCAGCCCCAGACAGCGGGCAACGGGATGGAAGCAAACCTTGTGTGGGTGTGCAATGAACGTCCCTTTAAGCAGGTGGGCTGTATATAGTCCATTATATAAGGGACAGACTCCAGACTCCGGATGGTCCCTTCCAGGATCTTCTTCAGTTTCAATGGTAGTTGATTTCTGCCAAAAAGTCAGCGCTTCTGAAGTTGAGACACATATCAACCCACTGCGCACAAGTTATACTTTTCTGGCACCACCGCACCACCTCAAGAATTTTCCCACTGAGTCCCTCCCAGGCGGTTGTCGGATGTTTTCCGAACCTCTGTTCCGTCAACTGTACAGTAGTTGATTACTTTCCTGGAGGTGCTTCCCTGGAGAAAAAGCCTCTTGCAACGAAAAAAGGTATGAAATCTTCCATGGTTGACACCGCTGGAGCGCACTCCACTTTGTGAGTTCAAGGGGCTCACTGCCACCAACGGTCCAACTATGCCCCAAATGTCCAGGAAAAAAAAGCGCTTTTTTCTTTGAGTGTGAGAGAAGAAAAATCGAAGAGTGCGCACTGCTCAGCACATTCTCTCCTCATGTCCCTTTCAGTGAGCGACGTACAGACAGCCAAACCGCCCTGAAAGTCGGTGCTTCGGTGCTTCGGGGCGGGAGCCCAGACGCGACCTGGTCTGGGACTGCCAGTTCCGGACTGCCTTCAAAACGGCCAGGGGTGGTAGGGAGGGAGGTATGTAGGCATATATTCCATACATGGAGTGTATGGGTAAAGCACCCAATTGAAATGGAAAACCCTCTTCATATGGGGGTTTATGGTCCTCAAGAGTCTACATTAATCCAACGAGACGACGTTCTGGCTTCTTCAGAGTTCCCGCCCCGCGACCCGCGCGCGGCCACCAGTGGCGCCTCCACCGGCGCCAATGCCAACGTGTGACGACGTCCAACGTCGCACCAAGGTGCTGTGATCTTCTGCGGAAGCAGCTCGAAAGGCCCTTCTCCAGCTAAGTCGGACAAGGTTTTCCTCGGCATCTCTAGGCATCCGATCGCGGGCGTAGAACAGGTGCGCCAAACTGATTGGTGCGACGTGTAGACGATAGGGAGGTGACCCCTCACTGACCGGATTCATTCCCTCCGTCCTTCCTAAGCACAAAAAGAAACGGCCGAAGTCAAAACACCTGGCAAACCGCAAGGCTTTGCACATCGCAACCGTTGATCTTCTTCCCCAACTGCAGAGTTCTCCAACCTCCGGAGGTTGATGCATCAAAAAATTGTTTCAAAGGCCAGCTAGGCTATAAACACTTCTCTGAACTTGAAAGTTAATGGATTTGTTTCTTGGTTTGTTTGTCTATCTTTGTGATCTATATTTTTCAGGGCATGTGGATCGATGATCCCGGACCGTTCGACTGTCCCGACCGTCCCCCAAAACCACGCCCCAAGTGGCCCTCCATCAAAGAGACTCTGAGCCTCGGTGGAAGTCGGTGCGGACTCAGAGCGCCCCACAAACGGTGCGTCGGGACAGTCGATATGACAACGGATGTCGATGGTGATTAGATCTCCCTGGTGGTTGGATCAATTTGAGGGATCTCCTACAAGTCAGTTGGACCTCATGAAATACTGGGGATGGTCATACAACACCAATACTGGGTAGGAGCTAGTCTAGACCAGGTCTTACTGGGTCAGACTGGACGTACCGAACCGCAGGTCCCGGGTTTCGGACGGAGACACTGAGACGGTGGTCGAGACGGTGGTCGACTTGGACGGTCCGGTTGTACTGAACATGAGAAGGTGCAACTGGATTCCTTTTGGGGAATGTGATATGGAACTGCCTTGATATATGGACTTCAACTGATTGAAACCCGATCTTGGATCTGATGTGTTGGTTGAAGTATCATGAAATTGGAAGTGGAGACGCTCGAAGCTCCAACGAAGCCATTTGTTAAAGATCCTAGGATCGATGTTGGGTACATCCCATTACCAGTAACAGTGGATGATGATCATGATGATGATGGTGGTGATGACGCTTAAAGGCCTTTCTCCAAAATAGTGATAATCTTCTACCAACTGTTGCACGGTGTCTTCGGTTGGGCTGTTCGTTAGGCTGTTCGTTGCTCTTCGGTGGCACACAGTTCTGTGGTATGGTGCTCGCTCTCGGTGACTCTCTCAGTCTGCCTCTCTCTCTCTCTCTCTCTCTCTCTCCGTTTTCATGTTCTGCCGCTACATATGCCGTTCTGCCCCCACCCCATCAGCAAAGGGTTCAGGAGTCCCCTCTTACGGCCACACAACCCCTAGCGCGCCGGGCGCTAAGTCGCCCAAATGTCCCATCTCTTTCAGCACCTAAGTCCTTTGTGGTGTAACCACCAACCCAGGACCTTCGACTACGTGGCAGAACTTGCCGTGGAAAGGTCCTTGGGTTTAGGTCGAAGTTCGGGCCCGACCACAAACCCTCTGAAGAGAGGTCTCGACTTGAAGTTCCTGGAAAGTGCTTTCATCTGTCATAGGACTTAAGGCCTTTGACTTCTATAGGACGTGGGACATGTGTTTACATGCTGAAAAAGAGTTTCCATGTTGACCGAAGTCGAGTGTTCAGGAAGTTCCTGAACTCCACCGTCACCGGCACTGGGACGAAGACGTCACATGGGTTTCGTGGCGGTCTCGAAAGGAAGACGACGTTCCTTTCAAATTTTAGGGGGGGTTCCATGGTTGGTCCACTTCCATGATCTTCCATACTTATTTCAGGGAGTGTAGATCGCCCAATCTGAAGAACAATCTCAATCGGAGTGTGAACGGTTCAACCTCAGAAGCTCCTGGACCCTGCTTTCCCTGCTTCGTCGGTCGCCTCAAAACCCATGACCGACCGAACAGCGACACTCCGAACAGCGACTCTTCCAGGTGTTTGGAAGATATGCCCAACATCACCCAGGCTGGGTATGCCCTAGCCACTATGGCCTCCCAAGACTATATTGAAAATGGTTGACCCTGGCTTTGTAGCGTAAAACCCTTAGTAAAACAACAGTCGTTCAGTAAAGGTTATTAAAGCAATGGTTGTTGAAATCCTACGGTATGTGTATGTGACATCAACAAGTAAGTACTATTTTCAGCTCTCACCTGATAGGAAGATACGCCCACAAAACCACTCCCGGAATATGCCGCCCCATTGACCCAGGAAATCAACCGCCCCCAATGTTGGCAAAGATGTCGTACATGGAGCTTTTAAAGGTAAAAAACGCGTGTTTGTGCCCATGGAGTTTCGGGCTCAGGTCTCCTCACTCTTTCCACCACTGCCACGTGGCTTTGGTGGCCAGCTTCTCATAGGCTTCCAACTGCCGAGCACTCCAAGTCGACCCCATCACTGTTTGCACGTGATCTGGATCCGGTCCATCGACCGACTCCCAAAGCCACCTGAGTCACTCAGGAGAAACCACTGTGCAACACCAGATGCACCCCAGGCTCCAGTTTTTGCAAATGAGGATTTAGAAAGAAGTCGGCCCATCTTGAGCCTGCACGAGGGTAAGGGGACCTGATCATGACCATCCCCAATCGGTTCCACCATGTCCATGACTTGTAAATTATTCCACCGAGGATCCGAGCCTTGACGGCCGCGCGTTTCACTTGTACTTCGAAGCGCTCTCCCGAGCTTGTGGGCGTTCGCTAGAGATCCAGAGCTAGGATGGGCAAACTTCTCCATATGCGCGGGGTTCACGCAGTCAACATTGAAACATGTATCTATTCTCCTGGCAACCGTTTATGTCGTCTGCAACTGGGAAATAAAGTCACCCAACATCACATACTCAGTTGGCCATGACTGCCCATGGCTCGCCATGGTCAAACGGACGTTTCCGGACGTGTCCGGACGTTTCGGACGTTTCCGCGGCATCGCTTGGCTGCGAGGCACGGGCGCGGCATGGACACGTCGGTGATCTTCAGCTCGTCAAAGAGCCGCAAGACGCGATGGTCCGCAGGGTAGGCCACCTGGAATCCGCAGGTGCGGGCGGTTCGGGGCGACTGGTGCGGACCATCAGACTGGTGCTGTAGTATAGTATATATAGATGTATATAGTATACAAACACATCATGGGACTGGAAGATTTGCCGATCAGTTGGGGTGGTTGACCAAGGTCAATGTAGGTATTAGGTAACTAATGATTCCATACATCTGGGGCCCAGGGAAGGAGTGGAGGGATGTGTTTCACCCATCCCCCGGTCCCTTGAATCGACAGGACATTGGTCGCAATGACAGCCATGTCTCCTTCTGATGAGAAAAGGAGCGGAAGCAGAAGTCCCCCAACGTCCCAAAAGAAAGACATGCTGGAGGAGCTTGAGGTCAGAAGCAGCGAGCTTGAGGTCAAAGAAAACAGGAGTCCAACGCGTCTGCAAGGACGGGACCGTTCTGGTGGCAGCCAGGAGCACCCCTAGTAGTGTCCTTGCTACCTGTAGCGATGCCCTTTGTTACGTTCGTAGCTTCTTGTTCCTGGTAGTAAGGCCAGGAGCTACTAGTAGCAGAAAAATATGCATGGTTTTTTCTGCCAAGAAGGGTAATCTGCTTGGTGAGCGACTTGTGCATACCACTCTCAACCTGGGCAGCACATTGGCAACGTCCCTCTGTTCCTCCGAAAAGGCTGAAAAAGCTCCGTTTGGATCCAATTTCAACGACCACACACACACTACCCCTCCACTCGTTACTCAGCCCTGATTCAAACCCCGATAGGAAAGTGGCACAGAAGAGGGGCAGGTCGAGTGGGGGGGCAGGTGGGCAGGTGGGCTGGTGGGTTCCCTAGAACACCTCATTGATTCTCTGGGCGACCCGTTTTCACAACTCTGGGCAACGGTGTGGGTTGTCCCCACGACGTCAAAAAGGTGGCCGACTACCCCGGTTCCTGCGACCGGTCGCCCCGGGACACTGGAAATTCCAACTAACGCACACCTTCCAGACACCCCAGTGGTTCCTCAGTGAAGCAAAGGGACAGACACCCCAGACACCCCAAAAACCCCGTTCCTCGGACCACTCCTTTGAAGAGTCGACTCCACTCCCAATGCCCACCCTGCCTCCCATTCCCTGGAGTGGGCATCCGTGTCGCCAGAATGGTCCAAGTCCTATCAGACGGCCATTCCGACATGCGTCCGCACTCACGACCATACCAAAACCATTGGGAAGAACAGCCAGGAGCTTTGACGACAATGACCCCTGCCCTACAGGATTTGTGGTCGTACGCGAACAGTCTAGGACTTTTCCGTGACCTCAGCCGCTAAGTTTGGTCACGAGTCGAAGGTGAGTTTCACCGGTGATTCTAGTGAGAAGAAAACACCTGAAAACCCCTCTCGATCCGTTGGCCTCTTCACAGCTTAACAGCGACAGAAACTGATTTCAGGAGACAAACCGGTACAACTCCACAAGATGAGCTACCTCTGTCATGCACGGCTTTCGGTCCGAAGCCCTGCTGACCAGTTTCCCAGCTTGGGTATTCCCCCTGAGTGTCGTCGTCGTGGAAAATGACCACATGTGTCACTCAATAAATAATGACGAAGAAAGCCGTCGTGCACGATGGTTTCTGACAACTGTGCCTGTGCCCATGAGTCGAAATCTGACGTCAAATGGCAGCTTTTCGTTCTCGTGTTGAACTGCAATTTCACAAGGATCATCCAAGCACAACCACTCCAACTCGTCCCCCTTCCTTGTCTCAACCCTCCAGCCATCCTTCAAGCACACCACACGGAGCATCCGCTTCTCAGGCACTTCGCCAGCTTCGCCGCTGTCGCCGGGCGCTTCATGCGCTTGCGCCGCGCGCGAAGCCGGGCGCTTCATGCGGTGGACGTCTTCGCGGCGTGAAACGGCCAAGAGCTGCAGAAAAGGAGAGTGACAGAGTTGAACTGGTGGACTTACAGACTTGCAAATGGCGAGCTGGAGGGTGGTGATCTGGGTTGCAACTCTCATGGAACTCCTTGATTCTGGCATGATGTCGTACAAGGAGACACTTTTCCTCTGGTGGCACAACTTAAGTCTCAGTTAGAAACCAGGCCAAAACTAAGGACACGTGGCCAGGCACCCCTGGTCCCGATTCCACCTATTTGATGTTGGTGTCCGGCCACCCGGTTCGGTAAAAGAGGACGCATCCATCTCCTGTCGAGGCACGAACCAGGAGGCCCGCGAGGGGCCAGCGACTTCAGCATAGGAGAGGCGGTAGGGCTTGGTGAAGGGCAAAACCAGGTTGTTGGTGACATAGTGCCTGAGAGATCACAGGCACATCGTGCAACCTCCGAAAGCTTTTGTCTGCACTCGCAGCACTTGTCAGTCTGGACAATCCCAGATCATCCATGGGACCATTCCATGTGCACGACCCATGAAGACCCATTTACGACCCATCCATGTCAAGTCCCCTTGTCAGTGTCTGGAAAATCATCACTTCAGTCGCTCTCTGCGCGAGGAACGCCGTGCGTTCCTTCACTCAGACCCAGACCCCGACTCCACGGGCCAGTGGAACGTGTGTTTTCCCAGCAGGTGATTCATGGCGCTCAAAGGAACCGTCGAGGATCGTAGAGGATTCAGATCCTCCGCAGCCTTTGGGGGTTTGGAACCTTTCTGGTCATCCGTGCCCATGCAGGCATGTCTGCTCTCGGTGATGTACACTCCAAAAACGAACATGGACCCTGAAAACCACTGGGTGGTAGACGAAGACCATCTTTGAGGATTCCAGAGGGGCGTTGTCAGGGTGTATAGTTTTCTGTGATGTACTTACGTTGACTCCTTTTTTTTCTACCTCCCCAACTGATCAGGAAGTCATATGCTGAGCGTCTCAGGTTCGAAGGTTTCATGGTGTTTCGAAGGGGATCTTTTTGTGGGAAAATCCTTTGAAAGAACAGTCTCGGGATCACCCACGCTCAATGTGCAAATCCCCATCCGATTGAATCCCTGGCCTTCCAAGGCCAGGGATAAATGGTTGAGCTAGCGGAAAATCCTTAGTAAAACAGCTGCCCCAGAGTCACTGTATTTGGGGTCTATCCTATTACCAGGGCCCAGTGGATGATGATGGGGCTTGGTTGCAGGCCTGACAGGCCTTCTTTACCGACTGTTATTGGTAATAAAGGGACAGGCCCAAATTATATTCATTGCACCTGGTTCTTCAAAGTGACCTTTTGACATCCTGGTTTGAGGTCACTTAGGCCTGTAACAGGTCACTTGGGGACTCCAAAAAGGTCACTTTGAAGAAGCTGGTGTATGCACTCACTCCCCAAAGCTCCCTGCCACGCCCGCTCGTCGGCCGCGTGTCTCCGCTTCAGAGGCTTATGTCGCGACGGAGCAGTGCGGCGTTGGGGTGATGGATCAGTGCGGTGAGACCGACCAAGTAGAAGCTCTGCCCACCCGAACCCACTGCTGCATGTTGCCAAAACCCGAAGCCATGAGCAATCCAATGAACCTTTGGGGAAGAAAGAAACAGACTGCCCATGCAGGGCTCCTCTACATGACATTCATCGAACATTCTGCAAAAAGGGTCCCAACCGTCCCAACCGTCCGCGGCGCATGTCGCGGCGGCGGATGAAGTCCCGAAAGTACTCAAAGAGATCGCCGATCTGCTCCGCGGTGATCGCGCGGTCGGGACCTCCATCCGGCCGTGATCGCACCGTGCTGTCTCCCAAGACCATCTTGGTCTGAAACGCTTGAGCTGGTCGGTGCGGTGCTAAAATCCTAAAACAAGGGTGGTGAAGGTCAAAGCCATTCAATCCATGGTGGTTGGAGGCCGGTGAGTGCAAGTGATTGGATGGTTTTCGGTGGGGATTTGGTCGACTAGACTCTAGATAGGGACTTGGTCCCCTGTGGAATGAACCTCCCAAGCCTCTTCTGTCTCTTCTCATGTGATTCTAGGATGACTCCAAGCTGGCAGAGTCCCAAGGACAAAACTCCCTCCCTCGCTCCGCAGAAGCACCGAGAATGGTGCGCTCGCTCGTGCGTTCAGACCCAATCCATGGGAAAAGTGGCCTCCGATAGGTCCAAAATTTCATGGGAGGCCGTGTACCAGCACCTTCACTGCCAGGTCACCACCTGCCACGCCCTTAAGTCTGCAAAAGTCACCATTTCGGAGACCTGTTGAGTCAGGTGCCTGGTACATATGTGTCCCTCCTCTCGTCCAGTCCCATTGATCTCGCTGGCGGGGGAAAACGGACGCCCGCGCGAGGGACTTGCGACCACGATCCAGGAAGTGGGATGGACTCGCTCAGAAACAGCTGGCAGTGGCCGGGCAATCCCAAGAGCAAAGAAAAACCAAGGACCGCCAATCCAGGAGTCACATGTCGGGGTGGTGTTTGGTCCCCTTACGTGAGTGGATGTTTTGGGCACCCCTATCCTCTAGTAGGCACCCCTTTGTGACTGCTGGATTATATACTTTCGAAATGAGATCTGGCCCTGGAAAAACATATCCTTTACATGTAACATGATCGGTTAGAATATGACCAGCACCGGCCACAGATCGGTCTCCAATGGACTACTCTACACTACAGGGATGCACCACCCGCCTCGCTCCGTGGGCTGCGGATTGGGGTTGGCCTCGCGGGCTCCGGTGGGCGCGGCGTGGCCCAGTGGCCCAGTCACCCGGAGTCCCGGCGACCCCAAACAGATCCAAACCGTGTGTCTTGTCTTGTCAGCCGTGGCCTTAACTTACTGATACTGTAAGAAGTGCTAGTGTGGACACAGTTTGGGGAAGAAAGATGGAACTCCTGGTCACCTTTTTGATGCTTCTTCCCATGTGTGGATGGATGAGATGGATGGGAGACTAGCGCTGCCGCTACTACTGGTACAACTCCTGCTGCTACTAGTGTACTCCTTTAGTGCATTGCTATTCCTACTCTTCCTAGTTACTTTTGTTGTGCACACTGTGCCACGTATCGTACTCTGTAGCAGGTTTCAGACGACAAATGATGAAGGATTGGCAAGAAGTTTGCATCTGTCGGTTCCTCGCCACCTCAAGGGTCCACAGTCAGTCTTGGTGCTGTGGTCCAAAGTTCGTCACTGCTTTGACAGGTACCTACCTTCAGGCTTTCACCATTGATTGAATATGCCGAACCACCCTTGTTTTACTGTGGATGCTACACGACCAGAACCAGGTTCCACCTTTCGCTCTTGGAAGGCGAAAAACTATACCAAAAAACATGGCCTTCTTTGGACACATCTTCCATCCTCGTCCTCGCCCCGAAACACCACACACCCCACACACCCCACACACCGGTCGTCCTCGAACCCGCCAGGTTACCACCGGTCGGTCGGTGCCTTGAGGAGTCGTTGCTTGAAGCTCCCCTGTCGACGCCGCAGCGGCGTGCTCAGCACCTGGTTGCGCCAGACCTTTGGCGTTTCACGGCGGTGAACGCCTCCACGGATGGTCACGGCAAAAGTCGGTGGACCCGGTGGAACCGGTGGAACCGGGGCCCCCCATAAAAGAGAAGACATGGGGTTGGTTTTCTTAAGAGTTCCGATGCCTGTGGAGAAGGTGGAGAAGGTGGAGAAGGTCCGACTTTTGCCAAGGATTCTAAGGGAAGATGGGAAGTATATCTTCCAGTCCCACGGAGTGCCTGGGCAGCTCTGGGAAACCTTTTTTGAAGAACAAGCTCACGAAAATGGGGCATCTGTGTCCCCAAACTGGTCAACCTTTCAGCTGAACAGATGAAATTAGTACAAAGAAAACGCAAGAACCAGGTGTTCCATGTCTGGATGCTTCTTGGAGGGAGAGCATCCAGGCATGGCAGTCCTGACTCTCGATCAGCTGGGGCGGTTGATTGAAAAGGGGTCAACATCCGGGACCTTCCCAGTGACCTAGAATGAGATGGTGGCTGAGGTCATGTATACTAGGTCTTGAAAAGGACACTTACCAATCCTGAAGAGGTCACTGGGAAGTTCCTGGATGGCATGGTGAAGTACTTCTTCTCATCTTAACCCACGGTTCCCATCTAAGACCCTCCCATCCCGTTCGCAGTTCCCACACCAGTTCTCCAGGACACCCAGTAGTGGACCACCAGCACGCCCAGCGCGCCCAACAAGGCGATGCTCAACGACCAAGGCAAGTGCTTGGCCTCTGCGGGACCGCCCATCACGGGTGGGACCGGTGGCCGAGAGGGTCCTCGTCGACGGTGACGTGACCAGACCCGGTGGCTGGACGATGTCGGTCTGGAGTTGAGCAGAAAAAGGAGGACTAGGAGGACTAGGAGGACTAGGAGTGGGGTCTGATCCCTGGGACATTGCAATATATAATATATTGCTAATATATATATATATAGCAACATATAGCATCATATAGCAACCAACTGTCCGCGAGAATGGGACAGCACATTTTTTTCACAGCTCAAGGGCAGCACGAGGTCACGACAGACCCGTCGTTCCACCAAGACCCCAGGAGTCTCTCGTGGGCATTCGAGACCGTTTTCGTTCGGAAGGAGACGATGAGTCGAGACGCTGCCAGTGTCGGGGCACGAGGTCACGACGTGCAGAGGGTACTGGATCGGAAGTGGCCGAAGTGGCCGAAGGACGCACCCCGAAGCCACGGCACTGCCCTTAGCTAAGTGGTTTCGGCCTCATGCGAACGGGTGTTTGGGGTGTGAAAGCCCGAAGTGTTCGCCCGAGAATCGTCCGAATCGTCCAGCTTCCGGCGCTGCTTCGAGTTACCCCATGTCTGACCTAATGGATCGGCAACTACTCCAGTCCCACGAAGTGTCTGGGTGATGCCTCCCGTTAAGAACCCTTTGGACATAACACACCGAAACTGCTTTGAATGGTCCGACCCCAAAGCGAAACACACATGGTCTCTACACATCTCTAATACACCACCCTTGCGGTTGTGACGGTTCTCTGGCATATGCTCACCTCTTGCCTCACCGGTACCTCACCTCTTGCCTCTCACAACGGCCGACCGCCGCAGGACCTGCGAACGACCTTTCGGCCTGCGCGACCCGCGAAGGGCAAAGAGCGCGGTCCAGCACCGGAGGCGTTCCGGCCACGCGGCTGCCGCCCCCCCCCCAACACCATCTCTCCTTTGGTTTCGTCAGTTGAAAGCCAAAAACGAAGGTGGTGTTAGTCGTCCTTTTTCTTGGGGTGTCCAGTTGAAAGCCAAAACGAAGGTGGTGTTAGAACGAAGTCCCTCGAAGTCACTGAGCATCCCTGAAGTCACTGGGCGCCCTCCACTCTTCGGGTCTTCACCGTCGTTCGCTCCCCAAGCGCGGAACATGGTGGCTGCTCTGCCTCTCCGATGCCGTTGAGGATGGCCCAGTAGAGGCACAAGGCCAGGATCACCTGGCATCAGAACACACGGCCCAACACACGGAGTTGGTGGAACTCACGGCCCGGATCGCCCATCCGAGCGGACCGGCAGGTTCGAGTTGGGATGTTCAGAGCCCACGAAGGAATGAAAAAGGTACCCTTTTGGAGGACAAGCACTTACCCGGGTTCAACGGTCTAGCTCGTTTTGGGCCAAAAACATAGTGGAAAGAAGGCGATCCCGTCCTTTTGCGTGTTCTTTCGCGAGCCATCTCTAGTTGATTCTCTAAGAATGCCGAAAGGATGCGCACCATCATATGCTTGTGCCTGCGCCTAGGACTGGAGCAAACCGCCCAGTTCTTCTGTTCGTTCGGGCACACAGGAGTCCCCGAGACGACACCTACAAACATCTGAGAGTCCCAGAGAGTGTACATCTGGGACAGGTCTTTTGGTTCGTATCCACCCAACGGTGCCTCACCCTCGTCCGGGTTTGACGAGCGGACGAGCGGCGAACGGATGTTCGCCGTTCGGGGGGGTTAGTGCTGGATGAGAGGCATTGGCTTCAGGGATGTTGGTGTATTTGTGGGGATGTCCATCCTCGGAAACCCCTTCCGTTTGACCATCTAAAAGAAAGCTTGACCTGGTTTTGTAGTCAAAAAACTTAGTAAACCAATGGCTGTCGGGTAATCCATTAAATCAATGATCGTTGGAAGCCTGGGGCTAGGGCACAGCTACCTTAGTTACCTGGCTAGGTCGTTCAAGTTGGCTTGACCGGCTGCATGGTGCCCGACTGCACGGGGCTTTGTGGGTTGTGACTTTCATCCGTTCATCCCAGATGGATCTGTCTCAAACATTCTCCCGGATTGGCTACAACTAACTTCTCAGAAGGTATTTGAACCCTCCTGACATTCACCCCAAACACGGTAATCCGGTAACCCCTATACCACCTGATGATGAATCTTTTGGGGATTGGTTGAACTGTACAAATGAGTCAATCTGAATGGAGAACCAAGTGGTACGCCAGTGACGTCAGAATGTCTGGGGGCATAATTTGAATCTAGGGCCAATGTTCTTCGGGAAGCTCAATCTGTGTCCGAGTGAGCTTAGTGTTGAGTCTTCCATGGATCAACCAGCAAACGAAGCCAGCATGTCATCCGAAGTCGTTGTATTCAACGTCTTTGTCGCTGGTGAAAAAGAGTGTTCCAAACGGTTCGCCCGGCATGAAAGACCCCTGAAATCCCGGCCAAACATGCCAAAGTGGCCAAACTTCGTGGGAAGCATTAAACTGAACGATACCTGGACCCTCCAACAGGTGTTTCCTGGTGACAACAGGTGCCCAGAAACCACCTGTTAGGGTCTTCAAACAGCCTGTTGGAGGGTTCTGGTAGAGTTGCTCAGAACTAGAGTTGCTTGGGGCGGCCCACTGACCAACCAAAGATGTTGCTGCAAAAGCGGATTGGCGACAGCCCGGCACTTGGGAAGAAGCGAATGCTGTCCATACCCAAACACGACCATAACATACTGTCTGGGGCTGAAATAGTTACCTGCATTAGGGACATGAATGAGGTAAGTACACTCTCTGGAACCAACATGGAAGTGGAGAATGGCCCCTTGGAAGACCATGTTCCACTACAAACAGGTGGTTTTCCACTTCCATGTTAGTTTCAAGGAGAGTAAGTATGGTGGAGACATGAACTCCACGGAGCGGACGTCCACGTCCGTTGGAAAGGACCGTCCACGTCCGGCACGAACGTCGTTCTGACGAGCGAGCCATGACGGGCCGTGAACCCAGAGGTTGAACTCCTCATGTCGGCTCCTTTCCACCCTGTTTACATTTGAGGAAAGGGTGTGGCCAATCCCTCAAGTCTGGCTCTCTTCCTTTCGCCGCTGTTCAAAGGCTCCCATCCAAATGTTCTGCTTTTTTCACTCGAGCGGATCCGAGCCACGCGCCGGTGCCGGCGCCAACGCGTGACAAAACGAAGAACCGAAGAAGCGGCCACGGACCGGACAGTCCGTCGTCACTCTGAGCTCCTGTCGTCACTCGTCACTCGTCACTCTCCGATGTGGAGATCATCCATTGTCCTGGCGCGCCCGTCACATCCTCGTGCAAGCACTCAAACCTTTGCAAAGCCCGAGGAAGATCCATTTCCACCACTTCCGATCTCGAGTCCAAAACCACCAAACACTGAAGGCTGCTTGGCCAATTCACTCTCTTCAGGGCATCAAACCATCTGACAAACTCAATGCTCTGAAGGCCGCTGGGCCAAGCCGTTCTTTCCAGACTCTGGTCGAACATCCTGCCAAAGGAAAGACTTTTAAGGGTGTTGGGAAAAGCCACTCCTTCCAGACTCTGGTTGAACTGTTCGCCAAAGGAAAGACTTTGAAGGCCGCTGGGCCAAGCCACTCCTTCCAGACTTTGGTTGAACGCAAAGCCAAAGGAAAGACTTTGAAGGCCGCTCGGCCAAGCCACTCCTTCCAGACTCTGGTTGAACTGGAAGCCAAAGGAAAGACTTTGAAGGCCGCTGGGCCAAGCCACTCCTCTCAGACTCTGGTTGAACTGTTCGCCAAAGGAAAGACTTTGAAGGCTACAGGGCCAAGCCACTCCTTCCAGACTCTGATCAAACGCAAAGCCAAAGGAAAGACTTTGAAGGCCTCTGGGCCAAGCCACTCCCTCCAAACGATCGTTGAACCCATCGCCAAAGGCAAGGTGCTTGAGGGTGACAAGGTGCCTGAGAGCAGTTGTCTCTTGCAGCCCTCGTAGCTGCAGTATCCCCTCGAGAGCCATCGACTCATCAGCGTCGACAGGGCACTTTCGGATGCATCTCAAAGCCTCCTGCAGGTTAGCCACCTCATAGGCGTAGGACAAAGAAGTTGGTTCCTCTTGATCCTCTTGCACCAGCCCTTCTTGGGCCAGAGTCTTCGATAATGAAAGCTTCTGAGAGCCTTTCATCACCACAACTCTTGCTCCAGCTTTGAGCGGAAGTCGATTCCGGATGATTCTTCGAAGCTCAGAGCAAGTGAGGGACTTGGGCACTCGGACCTGGAATCCGTCTCCGCCCACGCCCACCACCTGAATGTCCAGTTCTTCATCACCGAGTCGCTGCACCAATTCGCTCGAGAGAATGTCCTTCCGAACTCTCTTCAATGGTGGCTCCAAAGGGCTGACTGCCATTGCCCATGGCCGCCCGCCAGCGGTCAGACCGGTCACGGACAAGAAAGCTCTGAAGCCTTCTATAGATCGACACTTTCAAGTGGGTGACAGACACTTTGTTTATCGAACATGAAGACTAGAGTATCTAGAGGTGTTGTGTTTTTCCTATACACAGCAACATGATTGAAATACATGTGGATTCAACATAGAATTTATATAGGTTTCTCTTTACAGGGGCAACGGACGAACGTGACCTTGAGCAAACCTACAGTGCTTTCAGAGTGCCAACCGCACAACCGCCAAGCTTGGTCGTGTACCCGAAGCTTTATGAATCGAAGAAATGAGCTCTGAACGAACAGCATATGGGCTTTTGCTGGGTCCGACCATCACCTGAAGCTGCTGCCCCCAAAAAACGGCCGTTCAACCGGTGAGCCATTGCAAAGCTACCGCTGCCCTCTGCTACTCTGAACTTGATGGTGCCCTGCAATAACACCACAAACCGAGCAAAATGACAAACCTTCTCTTCTGGGTTTTGCAGGGTGTCCTTACATTGACTAAGTTACCAACCCCCAAATCTACAGTGGCTCCAAAAAAGTGTTTGGCACGAAAAATATCATCGCTTGGAGCCTCGAGCACGGGCTCCAGGCTCCAAGTGAGGCATGAGAAATGAATGAACTGCGCTGAGAATAACCGGGCCCGGTTGCAACACCCAGGGACCCAGGGTTTGCTTCGGGTCCTTTTCCCCCTGCCGTTCGTTTCGGTGTCGGCCCTCAAAGACCTCCCGCTCCAGCGGGGTTTGTCCGTTCGGCTCTTCACGAGTGACGGTGGATCCGGCGGAGTGATCTTAGTGAACCGAGTTGGGCGTCGGAGCGTGAGTTGGGCGTCGGTGTTCCTTTTCGATCCCTTTGGAGGGAGAAGATTCATGGACCCACCGTCCAATCTTCCTGTCCGCACACTCTACGACCTGGTCTCCAATTATAGTGGCACGGTGGGGATCTACTTTTCTATCGGTTTTGAGTTCTATGTATACCTAAAAAGGTGCTTCTTTGGGGTGCTCGCTGAAGAGAAGTACCTTGGGAAAAAGTACCCAAAAGCTGCAAGTCTCCCGGCATTGTACCTGATCTTCCGAAACATGAGGTGGGGAATGGCTGAAAGAGGTAGCTGTGCATGTGGGGACCCCGGTTGACCGTGCATGTTCAGTGCACGAAATGAACGTCCCCCACCCCGTCCGCGGCCCCGGCCAGGAGAAAGACCAGGACGATGAGCGAAGGAATTCCACAGGTGGCACTGGCCCAGAGGGAACCTGTCCGCGACGTTCCCGGTACCCAGTCTCAGGGTCACGGGTTGGAGGTCGGTCAGTCCCGAGTTCGGAAAAACCATATACCCAGACGCTCCCAACAGCCCTTGCTCCCTCAAAACCCTAGGGAATGGTTCCGGGTCCGGACCCCTCCAGAGGATTCGGGTCCCCTACTGAGGGTCAAAGGTCGAGTCTGGGTCAAACGAAGAGATGTGTCTGAAGTCCAGGAAACGACGCCAGCACCACCTTCAAAGAGGGACCCAATTCCGTTCGACCTCGCGTCATCTCAGACGTTCTCGGCCTTTTAGTAGTACCAACCCTGCAAAGACGGTGCCTAAAAGCCAGGATTGGTGGAGAAGGTCCGGATCCCGAAGACGAACATCGATGGGGAAAGGATGGGGGTTCTTTGGGTTCCAAACTAGTTCGGTCCAGGCTGCCTGGCGAGTTCGACCCATACCATGGAGGGAGCCACAGCGGATTCCTACGGGTTCTGAAGGCAACTACTATATACACTCGATTTTTCCATGTGAATGGCCGAATGCCGGTAAACACCTAGCTACCGTGACAGTAGGATTCCACTGGAAACCTTTTGTACCACATCCTTTGACTCCACCCGCCTTCCCCCCAATCAGGTCCATACCAGGCAGCATCTGGGCAAGATCCACATATGCCCCCTGGAGGTATTGATGTCCTTGCTGATGTGCTCCCCTAGCAATGCATGTGATATCGCAGGAAAACTGTCAGGAAAACCACTCTACTCTGCACCAGTTTTGCTTAGACTACACAGTTCAGTGTTGATCTTTGGGGTCGGCACGGTCACAATGTCCTTGAACGTCCCGGGCCACAGGTGGGAAATTGTTTGAGGGATTACAATCATCCATGAAAGTGGTTGCTGTGCGCGGGGCTTTGATACCCGGTGTCATGGATGCCCAAACAGCCACACAAAAAAAAGAACTCAAACATGGCAAAGGAACAAAATTTCTGTGCCGCCAGAAGCAAGACTTCCTTTCTTCACCATCTACCATGGCATCTGTTCCCAATCTCCTAAAACCATCTCAGCCGGCTCTTCCAAACCTCGTTTTATCACCGGTCTCGCTTCCTGGCACCGTACTACGGGTCCCACACGAAAAAAGAAACGGACTCAGGTGATCACAGGTGCTCACAGGTGGTTTCCTCGGGGGGCCCGGTCGGCTAGGTTTGCTGGTCGACCAGCCAAACAACCACTGGGACCGGTGCCGCCGCTGCCTGGGACGCAACGAACGAAGTGGGTTGCCTGCCTGCCTGAAAAGAACCAAAACCTCGCCCAAAACGTTCCTGGGATTCAGCCTGGAAGCCCTGGGAATCCGGTTCCAAGCCTTGATCCTGCAATAAGTAGAGCTCGTCCGGATCCCGCCACTTCACGCGGAAGACGTTCTTCTCCTAGCGGTGGTTTGGGGGGGGTCGTGGCACCTACCTGGAAGATCAAGCTACATGGTGTTGGGGCTCCAGGTTTTGACCCATCACCTCTTGGTGCAGGGTTTTCGTTTGGACTCCTGCTATCGCCTGTGAGGCCTAGCGATTGGTCGACTCCCCCTTACCCCCAGTGGCTCACCGTGGCTCAAAAAAACCGGCAGAAAAGAGGGGCACAGAACATCCATCTTTGAAAGGGAATGCCTTTCGGGAAGAATTCGGACTGCCGCACGCCTCAAACGCCCTCCTGCTTCAGCCTGCACGGCACGATCATGATGAGTCTGCCAGCTTTTTTGGGGCGCTCACTCCTTTCCAGGGTCCGCCACCCACCCGCGGCAGGACCTGTCCGCCACCTACCGGAGCATCTCCCTAGCTTCCGCCTTTCCGGCCCGTGACCGGTCGGTACGGATTCGGCGCATTCGGCTCCTCCAAGAGGTAGTGATGCGTATGGGTCAAACGGATCTTCACCGGCAACGGCGCCCAGCGATGCACCTGATGACTTCCCCAGGTCCTCGGGGCGGAGCGGCCAGGAGCGGCCACGCGCGCTTGCGCTTCCGTTCAGTGCCGGCAGAAGGGGGGGAAATCGATGGGGGCGGCGGGTTTGGGGACGTATGTCCCTTATGGAAGTCCAGTTCGACCACATGGGGCACCAGTGAAGTGAACCAAAATTCCTCTTTGGCGCAGGACGGAACTTGAGGCGCCTTGGAAAGAGAGGTCGGAATGACGTGGCACGAGGCACGAAAGGAGTCGGAACGAGCGTCAAACACCACCCAAAAAGGCACGCAATGGGGACGGTGGTCTCGCTGCGTGCCTCATGCTAAGTCAAGCCTCCAATAGGACCAACCAGCCAAATTTGCAAGAGTTCCACATCCGATCATCTTCCATCTACTTCTGCAGATTAAAATGATACTTCCCCTGTCTGCATGTGACTGTTCGCTAAAAGACCAACCGGCCCGACTTGCATGTGCCATCGATACCTCACCTTTCGATAGCCCGGCGAGCTTGCCCATCCGACCAGGGCCTTCAAATTCGAGGTGCTGGAGATCCACAAGTACTGTAGAGTAGTCTAGCCGAACGGAGATCCCGTTGAAGGAAGGTCCACGTACTACACAGTTGACCCCTGTGATAGGAAGTTGGACCATATACCTGGATCTTCCAACTATGCCAAATGTCTGCCTCTTGGCAGTTGTTGATGGATGAAAAAAGGCATATGCTTGTCACATGTTGGAAGATCCAGGTATATTGGGTGCTTGGTGGTCCCAACTCGAGGTCATTCAGCTTTCAAGGTCACCGCACGATTGATTTCGGTGTCCTTCGTACGTCGTTGTCCTTTGTCGTTGTAGTCATTATAGTCGTGCTCGTTTTCTGCAATTCAACCGGACCGATCCCACAGTTGAGGCTCTTCAAAACCAGTTTGCCTTCATCCAAGTAGATGTCCTTGGCAAGGATAGATCGCGAGGGCACAGCACAAATGGGTGAAAACAGCCGACTACCACTACCAGTCGGTGTTTAGTTGTAGGACGTCTGATCTTTGAAATTCCTCAAAAGAATCCAATCACACCCCACTGAATACCTTGTGAAAATGTTTGGGTCGGACTCATGACTAGGTGACTAGTATCGACTAGTTGTTGACTAGTGACTTGACACCTCAGTGACATTTGGGACCCCAAATTCTCGATCTAAAAACTGATTTCGATCCGTTTCAATCAGTCAACGCTGCGAAACACGGCGAACCGCTAGAAGCGTTGCGCTGCCAAGGTGCGTGAACAGCCACGGGCTTGCCAAAGAAGGAGGGCAACAAGAGGAGCAGCGCGCACACGTCCAAGACAAGTAAGAAGTTCAACCAGATCCTTGGAGATGTGTCCGATTCCAGATCCAAATTTTAAGGGGGTCACCTTAGAGGGCTTTGCCCGATTCGAACTAGCTGAAGTTCAGGTGGATAGGTCCGTTCGTGCCCTTCGACGTTTGTGCGGTCGTTCCTTCGACTGATCGTTGGGTCGATCTGCTTGACCTGCGACGTCGCACGCCACAACGATCGTTGGGTCGTTGGTCGTGTCGCATCCTCCGACACAGGCGACTTCGCACAAGAGTTGATCTGTTCCAATCCTGGTTTTGGTGCACAGGATCTAACCATGTCAAACTCTTTTTCTTGAGGTTTCACATGGCATTTCTAACATGCCCAAACACGATCGAATGCTATTATGAATTCGTGGATGATTAAATATATATATATATATCTTATAATAACAACAACAACAACAACAACAACAATAACAATAGTAATAATAATAATAGTAGTAATAATAATAATAGTAGTAATATATATGTAACAAAAATACATGTGATATGGGCAATCATTGGTTTACTCATAGGAATGGTCAAAAAAAACCACTGTTCCAACCTTTCACGCGCGCGGTGTCAACCGCGCGGTGGATCCCGTCGTGCTCCCGCCCCGTCGTCGCATTGGTGACGCGCCTGATCGACGTCGACCCCCCCACTTGGTGTGAATCGGACATCCTCTTCAGTTGGGGGATCCTAGGACCCACAAGGGGTGGTTAATGGACACCCCGAATCACCTCTAAGGGGCTATCAATAGACACCCCTTAGGGTGTCCTGGTCTACTGTGTTTTTTCTTTCAAGAGTCTACATGTAGCAACACTATAGTAAAAAGTGTGCCACAGTGGTGGAACTCCAGTCAGTCGTCAGTAAATGTCCGACTTCTTCACATATCGTCACAACATAGTTCATGCCGGGATGACTCGCATGCATGTGGCGTCCAGGGTGTGATGTTTGACGAGCCTTCGAAGGAATCGAGGCGTGGCACCGGCTTCGGTTCCCGAGCGGGATGTGCGACAGCAGCCCGGTGGCGGTGGCGACTGACCCAGACGCTCCAAACAGCCCTTGGTCCCTCAAAACGCAGGGATCTCAGACCCCAGGGGCCCCAGACCCTTCCATATGAGACCCCAGACCCCTCCATACCCAGGGTCGCGTCTGGATAGATCGAGCGTGCGATGCCAATTGAACTTGGACTTAGAGCGCCAAACGGAATCTCTTCTTCCCACCTACCCCATTGAAGTCTTCGCCCAGCCACAGTCCAACTGTTTCTACAAAGACTCCGCCACCCTCGTTGCGCCCCGACCTGGCCGCCCACGCAGCTTTTCGTGCCGACTCCACCCCCTCCACCCGTCGTCTCGCCAGGGAGCAAGCTGGCCTTCTGGAAGCAGTAGTTCTCATTGGGCGAGGTCATGGGCGATGTGTAGCCCAAGGGGCAGTCCACACATTGGAAGCCCTCCTGGAATGATGTCGAGGTGTGCGCGTGTGTGGATGTTTTTCCCGAATGCGTAGCGAAGGGTTCCCGTTTATAGTTGGGGGTCTGGGGGTTGGAGCTGTGTTTGCATGGCTTGCGTCGTGTCGTCGTTTGTGGTCGTCTCTCGTCGTCTCTCGTCGTTTGTCGTCGTCGTCGCGTCTCAAATTTGCTGCCATTGGGGGAAGCTTTTGCAAGTGACTTTGCATGGATGTGTCATATGTTAGTTTGCGCCGCTATTCTATTGTGATTTGCATGACAATGACATGTCGCGCAAGAAACGTGATGCATTTCGCTGCGCAGGTTCGCTGCACAGGCGCAGCGTTTTGTGAGATCCACAGATTGCTGCGCAGTTCCATTGAGATTAGCGTGTGGAGAGTCGTGCTTTTGGAGTGTTGGATGTGGCCGTGCCATTGGGATTTGCGTTTCAGGGTGTGGCATCGAAGCTCGGTTTTCGTGACAAGTCTCAGCTGAAATGGCGATTTTGGTGGATCGGAGTGTGCTCAGAACGGGTCGAAATCATTCCAAACGTGTGGTGTGGTGCAAAATTTGGTTGAAGCTCACATGAGATGATATTGTCACTTTTCGTGGCAGGCGCAGGACTTTGTGCGGGTTTTGAGGCGTGGAAGTGCGATTCTCGTGGCAGGCGCAGGGAATCGTGAGGTTGCGAGGTGTGACGGAGGTGACATTTCGTGGCAGGCGCAGTACTTTGTGCGCGTTAGAGGTGTGGACGCGGAAAGATTCGTGGCAGGCGCAGGGAATGGTGAGGTGGTGAGTTGTGGTAGAGGTGACATTGGGATTGGCGTGTGAGCGGATGTTGTTTGGAGGGGCTGGAATCGCGAAACTGCTTGGCAGGGCTGCGTGATGTGTGTGCTCCGATGGGTGTTTCCGCTTGCCTTTTGGAGGAAGTCTCGTACGAAGCGCTTGTTTTGCAGACTTTGACGTGTGAGTTTTTCAGGAAGTCTCGTACGAAACGCTCGTTTTGGAGACTTGACGCGCAACCCTCTGCGGAGATCGTGCGCGTCGAGTGTGCGAAATGCAGGCGAGAGTGCGATTTGTCCCATGCGCGCGCAACCCTCTGCGGAGATCGTGCGTGTCGAGTGCACGAAATGCAGGCGAGAGTGCGATTTGTCCCATGCACGCGCAACCCTCTGCCGAGTGCGCGAAATGCAGGCGAGAGTGCGATTTGTCCGGTGCCCACACCACCCTCTGCGGAGATCGTGCGTGTCGAGTGCGCGAAATGCAGGCGAGAGCGCGATTTGTCCGGTGCCTGGCACTGCGCAACCCTCTGCGGAGATCGTGCGCGTCGAGTGTGCGACATGCAGGCGAGAGTGCGATTTGTCCCATGCGCGCGCAACTCTCTGCGGAGATCGTGCGTGTCGAGTGCGGGAAATGCAGGCGAGAGTGCGATTTGTCCCATGCGCGCGCAACCCTCTGCAGAGATCGTGCGTGTCGAGTGCCCGAAGTGCAGGCGAGAGTGCGATTTGTCCGGTGCCCGCACCACCTTCTGCGGAGATCGTGCGTGTCGAGTGCGCGAAATGCAGGCGAGAGCGCGATTTGTCCGGTGCCCGCGCAACCCTCTGCGGAGATCGTGCGCGTCGAGTGTGCGAAATGCAGGCGAGAGTGCGATTTGTCCCATGCGCGCGCAACCCTCTGCGGAGATCGTGCGTGTCGAGTGCGCGAAATGCAGGCGAGAGTGCGATTTGTCCGGTGCCCGCACCGCCTTCTGCGGAGATCGTGCGTGTCGAGTGCGCGAAATGCAGGCGAGAGCGCGATTTGTCCGGTGCCCGCGCAACCCTCTGCGGAGATCGTGCGTGTCGAGCGCACGAAATGCAGGCGAGCACTGGCAACTTTGTAGTGTCCTGCAAGTGACCCACAAGAGTGTCCTACAAGAGTGTCCCACTAGAGTGTCCTACAAGAGTGTCGTGCAAGAGTGTCTCACAAGAGTGTCCTGCAAGTGACCCACAAGAGTGTCCTACAAGAGTGTCTCACAAGAGTGTCCCACAAGAGTGTCCTACAAGAGTGTCCCACAAGAGTCCTACAAGAGTGTCCCACAAGAGTGTCCCACAAGAGTGTCCTATAAGAGTGTCCCACAAGAGTGTCCTACAAGAGTGCCCCACAAGAGTTTCCTACAAGAGTGACCCACAAGAGTGTCCTACAAGAGTGTCATTTGGACATATGTAGTTTTTCGATCGTGTTTGCATTCGGGGTCGTGGGTTCCATCTTGTTTATGGTTTTTCATCCTACAAGAAAGGGTGTCCAGTCCACACATTGGAAGCCCCCCTGGAACGGCGTCGTTTTGTCGGTTTTTTTTACCAAGGAGAAGAGAGCTATATTGGAGCGTTTACCTCCTCAACGTGTGTTCCCGTTCTTCTTTTCCAAGAAGTTCTTTCAAACCCCAACGCCTAGCATGACGACTTTTTGGCATCACCGAACAAAAACGAAAGGATATTCCTAGACTGGCGTCATCTAACAACAATCCTTAAGAATAATGTGTATATATAATATTATATAATATGTCTAAAATGTTCACCATGTTGTACGGATCACCACGTTGTACGCCTTAACGTTGTTCGGATCACCCCTAGAATTGAACTTCCTTCGAGTCCTTTGGTCCTTTCGGAGCACCTGAACTCGATCCCAAAAACCCGTCCCAGAGGTCGAGGATGTCTCAACCACGAACTCGCAGGCATCCCACAGGTGCGAAGAGGAACCACCCCCCCCACGACGGCGCACTCATGAAACCTTCGCGAAACCACGGCTAGAACAACAGCGGTGCACTCGGAAGACGGACTGGACTCCTCTGCCACTTCGGGGGTGGCGACGAAGGGGTCCTTTGATCGGCACAGCAGTATCTATACCATGTTTGTTGTTGATGCCAATCTTCCACAGTTCACATCCCTAACAAATGACCGGAAAACGAGTTCGCGTCTCTGCCAGCCGAAGGAAATCAACCAAAACTCCCGCGTCACCTCATGTCCCGACAACCGCCTGGTAGGTGCCTTTGGGACACTCTCGACAGCGGGCACTGCTCTCCGGCATCTGTCCTAGCGACGGCAGGCGCCGCACGGGAGCCAGGTTTCCGAGCGCCGGCAGGGACCTTTGTTGGGGACCAAGTGGAGGACCGTATGGAACACACCAAATGTGTTTTCCTAGAAGAGTAGCTGCGCAAGATGTGCTGTTAGTCACTGCGCAAAACCCAGAAACAGGGTTTCGTGGTCTTCCCCCAACATCTCCTCCCCAAGCCCTGCCCATCCCTGTCATCACCCTGGCAAGATTCTTCGTTATGATTCCAAGCTGGGGATGGTTGCGATTGGAAGAGGGACATTCTCCCTCTTTAGGCCTCCGTCCCATCATCTGCACATGATGGGGAAGGCATAACCACCCGGTCCTCCTCCGCTATGGATATCACAGGCTTTGATCTTCAGAGTACACGTGACAAACCGCTGGCGCCAGATTGCCCTCGGCCGTCCCCGAAAGGTACGGTCTATTGTGCCGCCCAACATGGAGTCGTCCTCTTGACCACTACGGTCTGAGCCATACCCTGAAACACGGTCCATGTTTTCTCTGACCCTGGAAGCATCCCAAAACACCTTGGAAGATCAGCTTGAGATGGCAGTGGGTCAAAACCTGCACCCTACAAACCATGGGTTCGGTTGACATCCCTTCTATTTTCAAGTGGAATCGGTTCATTATGTTCATTGGGAGCCCCGGGCTCGGGTTCTGGGGTGCCATAGTTCCCATCTGCCCCAGCTCCTGCCGAGCAATTGAAGCAGGCAGCCTGACCTGCACAGTGAAACTGGGTGCGTCGATTTTTCCGGCACGGAAAGAGAGGCACAGCTTGTTCAATCCATGACAACGTGAGGAGTTAGGGGGTGAAGGCAGAAGCCGCTTAGTCTGGAAATCATGAAATCCACGAATGCTGATCGATCTGCATAAGCTAAACTCATCTAAGACCCGTCCCGCCCTTGGGTTTTTCTCTGGCTGGCTATTTGAAGGTGCGACCGATCTTTTTTCACCTGGTCCTCCTATGTCCTCCTGTGTCCTCCCGCCGACCCCGACCGCGCTACTTCGCCCCACCTGGGCTTTGTGCCACCAAGCCCAATGGACACACGCTGCAGTTGCCACTGCCGCGCTTCGCCGCGTAGCGCCCCACAGGGCACAGCTCACAGGTCTGGCCGGGTGGGAGGGGTGCTCGGTGCTCGCCCCACGGCGGTGCGGGGCGCGAGCCACACCGGACCCCGCTTGATGTCAGGCCACACGTGGTTGGTCAACTTCTGCAACCTTTTCCCCAAAAAAGCCTCCAGCTCTTTGGGAAAAGAACGTAAACAGAAAAGGTCTGAAAGCGATAGTTCCTGATTCCCGGGGTCACATGCACAAACACAAAGGGATACATGTCACAATAAAGTCCGAGGATGATATCAACTTTGAAACGCTGCATGACTGTTGCATTTAAACCCGGACAAGGCGTTGGAGAAAGGGAAAGAAACATGGCCAGGCAGACCCAGACAAAGCCTGCACAACGACAACGCAGGTATAGAGGCCCCGGCAACAAACAACGCTTGGAGAAGTTCCAGACCAGGTGGAAAAGAAAGCAGGATAAGGCCTGGACAAGGCCAGCAGCAAGAGAAGAACACAGGGTTCACTAGTGGAGGACACCAGGACAAGAGGAGGACACAGGGTGAGCGCGGCCAGAGGGCAGCAGGACAACTAGAGGACAAGAAGAGGACAACACGCAAACACAAGGTTCATGGGGCCCGGCCAGAGACTGTGGTTACAGTAATAAGAGAGAACCCACAACAGTACACTGTTTGAGAAAATGGATGGCATTCCGACTTCATATTTCCGACTTCATATCCCAAACACCTACGTCTCCAGCTCACTGACTCACTCGCCGGAAAACGGCCTGGTCGACGGAGCGGTCCTCGGTGGCCCCGGCCACGGGTGGGGTGGGCGGAGTCCGCCACGGGACGAGACAGCGCTGTCCGCGGTCGGTGAAGGGAGGGGGGGAAGGGTGAACCACCGAAAAAGGGACCAGGAAGGAGCCAGAAGAATGGGGGACAGATCGAACCATGGCCATTTAAGAGAGGTTGGAATCCTTAAGGAAAATACGGTGTCTGTTCGATAAAGCCTATAAATCAATGGTGGTTGGAATCCTCCTAGCAAGAGCTGTGAGGCACAGGTCGGGCAGGAGGGGTCGGTGTCCCCCGATGAGTCGGGGTAGGTCTCGGCCTGCCACGTGACCACCTGCATGAACCAGTCAAATCCAACCCAGTATAAATGGCCTTTGTCCTAGGGTTAGGGAGTAGGTCAACAGTTCCAACACTCAATCCACAAGTGCTGAGATGCAGCCCCCCAAGTCCAACTTCCCGGTTCCAGGACTTCCACCCGACGGACTGGAGGGTACAAATAGTACGGGTGGATCTGTTTCAGTGACTACTGTGGCTGGCCAGCGAACCTTCAGTACGTGACCTTTTTGAGTCCCCAAGTGACCTGTTACAGGCCTAAGTGACCTCAAACCAGGATGTCAAAAGGTCACTTTGAAGAACCAGGGGGTTGACGTGATATGAATAGTTTTGCATCACTTTAGGCTTAATCGGCATAGTGGACTGTTTAGAGAAGCCTGATTGGGAGCCACTTGATCGGCTTTCTGACTGCTTCCCGGTTACCGGGGGCATGATCAGTGAAGCAAACACTGATCGCCATCACCTTCTTGAAGACCTCCCGAACCAACCACCGATGCGAACTCAAAGCCATCAGTCCATCCGAAAACCAGAACCACCTCCGTTTCCATCCTCAGAAACCCCGGAGCACCCCGAGCATTCTATCCCCACCCTCCTCACCAAACCACATCACCTTCACCCTGTTCCAACCTCTTCCACCCCTCCGACGAGTGCCACGTGCCCTCCCTCCGACCAGTGGCTGGCAGGTAGGTGCCGCTCTCACAGGGTCGACACCGGATGATGCCCAACTGATCCGACTCCAAATGGCTCCCAGCCTCACCGCGCGCGCGACCCGCGTTCGGCGAAGGCGAAGGAGTTGGGCGGACTCCGAGGGGTTCAGACTCCGACGACCGAAACGTGTGGGACTCGCCCCAAATGGGGAGATGGACGGAAACATGTGGGGTCGGGGTAAATGGACACTTAGAACCCGGACAGGAGCTCCGTTTTGATAGGAAGTTGAAGTTGGACCATTTGGGGTGGTTGATGTTCTAGGTATATATATAACTTATAACTATTCCAGTCCCATGGATGGTCTGGGACCCTGGGAAAATCCCGTCTGAAACACCGGACACCTGGCGGAATCACTCAGACAAGACCTTCATGGCGGAGCCGCTTTTTGGGACACCCCCGGTTTCATGCCAACCGCCAGCGTTCGGTCGAATGCATCGACACCTCGACACCTCGAAACGGTTTCGCTCCGGGGTCGATGAGTGACATGCTTCGATCGACACGGCCCGTCCCGTGCTGTCTCACGGCCAACCGTGCTCGACACATTCGATCGACGCCCCGTGCGAATCGCATCGTCCCAGACCGCGGCGCGTCCCGTTCTCTCCGGTTCCGCTCGGCCTCGCAGCCGGCCAGGCCGTCGATGGGGTTCAGGCAGCGCACGTCGGTCTCCCACCTGTGGCCCGGTCGGGGACCGAAGCGGCGCGATACGCCCAGCGACCGAAGCGGTGGCACATGGAGGGAGGTGCGTAACCTCGTTTTCCAGGACGGAGCCGCTTTTGGATGTCTTGGTTCCGGTGCGGTCGTGGATCTGGTGGCTTGGGGCTTGAATCTGTTTGGGAAATGGATCCTGCTGTGGGGGCAGGGATCGTTTTCTGGGGGAGGTTCGACAAAACCTTTTTCGTGTCCTTGGAGAAGATCTATTCCACTGACTTAGCAAGGTCCTTTTTGTGTTCAACAAAACCGTACTTGGAGGAACATTCCACCTAGCAAGCGTTTTGTTAAAGGTTAGTCTACTAAGCGAATTACAGAAACAAAATTTAGTATATTGTTCAAGAGGAATGCTTAGGAATGCTTACCGCCTTACCATAAATTCATGTCCTCATTGGCGATGACCAGTTCGCCCTTGGCAAACATGACCACTTCAATTCGGAAGTCCGCGCAACGTCGCGTTTCAATCCCTGCACCAGCTTGCCTATGGGGATGGACCGTGACCCACCATGTGTTCACCCACGAGTTTGACCAACACCAGGTCAACCAAGGTATATCCCAGTTTTGACATCCCTGCACAGCTCTCACCCAAAAAACAGCGTCCCTCCCGCAGCCCCTCCCGCTCCCCCGTCCGATACGCGTCGTCTTCCGCGCGGTGTCGACCTTCCACGCGGTGTCGACCTTCCACTCCCTCCGCGCCTGGAGGCGTTGCAAGGCCTCACCAGCTCATCCAAGATTTCGCAGGCGCGGCCCAGCGAGGTCTCCTCCGGCACATTTCCTGGCGCATGGCATGTCCCGCTGTGAAACACAGGTCTGGCCCGTGCAGGTCGGTCTGCGGTGTCACTGCAAAGTGAATAGAGTGGAGAGGACGGGACAAATCCTTTCCAGTCATTGAACCAATCTAGATTGGTGCAGAAAAGCATGTATATGATGTGTGTGTGTGTCCTTATGTACAGGGACCTTCCATCTACTGGCTTTTTGTTGAGCGTTCCTCTTCTACACCCAAATATCTCCATGCACAAAGCACCTTATGGGAGGAAAATATACCAATTTCATCTATGTTCTACTCCCTCCGCCATTTATCAAGTCCATTTCGTTCCAGTTTGCTTGTTGTTTTGTGTTGGAGCGCGTGTAGGACACTGTAGGCCAGTGCCAACCATCGACCAGTGGAGTATGTCCCTTCTCTCTTCGCTCTCACGCACTCAGCGGAAAAACCACGCCGCCCTGGCCGTAGATCGTCTCCAGCATGGCCAAGCGCACCGGCTTCATCTCCTGACACCCAAGGATTGCTTCATTGGTGTCTTCCGGGCGTTCGGGTGTCTGGACTCCTGCGATGGGGCCATAGAGCGCCTCAGGCGCCTAAGGATTCGGAGGGCGGCCTAAAATCGTTCAAATTGGTCCTCGGGATGGTGCAGGATTTGTCTTTTTGGGTGATCCCTTTTCCCTCTGGGCGAACTCTTGGTGATGATCTCCATAAACTGGAAAGGTCGCCCAGCACTGGCAAGGTCGGAGACTGAAGACATCTCAAGACCCTTGGTTTTGACGGTGTGATATGAACAATCTGCAATGGACGAAATCTATAATATACTATTCATTAATCTATAAATCTATGTTATAACAATTATTGTACGTAGGCTATAGGGTCTCTGTTAGAATCGGGGATGGTCCTGCCGCCCCAGTTTCATCCCGATCCCAGTGTCCAACCAGCCAGGCCAGGACCGTTCGGCCGAGCCAAACCGTTCGACCGTTCGACCGTGCGGCCGCGAGGTTTCGGTCAAGGGGAAAGTTTGGCTCCAGAGAGATCTGCTTGCGATCCCACTGAAAGCGCCTTAGAGTTAAAAGGTTCGATCAACGATTTCCAGAGACACTGCAGTTGCAAGGAAGAGGAGAGAGGAACCCGGTGAGGAACCTCGCTTTCTCATCACCAAAAACAAGCCACAAAGATCGGTCCCTCCCACCCAGGCCGATCAGTCCCCCAGCGGCCAGGCCGATCAGTCCTCCACCCTCCACCGGCCGCGTCCCGTCGCGTGTGTTGTTCAACCGCCCTCCACCCTCCACCCACCCAGCGCCAACCCGCCGGCCTCGATGTCCGCACTCTCTGGGATGGGCGTGTTGGGATACCTCGATGTCTCCGCTCGGGAGTGGCTTGGACCGGGTGCCGAAACGGACGGCGAGTCAGACCTTGGGAGTTGAGCAGAGGTGGCGAGTCAGGGCAGATGATGCTCAGATGCTCTAGCTCTTCTTTGGATGCGAAGTGGACAGTGGACAGTGGCCCCCTTGGAAGACGATGTTCCTCTACCAAGAGGGGGTTGTCCACTTCCATGATTGTTGCAGGGAGGGTAGCTCTTTTTGGATGCGAGGCTTCGCAGCGGGCCAGGCTGAAGCAGGTTTCCCTCCTTGGGCTTCGCAGGACGGTTTTGGGCTCGAAAAAGGAAGCGTTCGAGGGCCGAGTCTGGGCACCGATGGGCTGAGAAAGCGTTGGAATGGCCGAGGACGGAGTTGTTTCGTCATCAACTATATTTGAACACCATTAGGGAACGCTATGTAGCAGCTGCGTATGTACCAGCTGCCATACGGAACTCCGTCTAGTGCTTTCAAATGATCTGGCAAACGACCTCAAGCGTACATGGCCACGAAACATATCTTGTACATCGAAGGACGTACCACCTCTCCAATGACAGTGTTCATCATCAAGTGACTATAGATCCTTTCCTTGAGTCCGTCTGTTGCGACCGTTGATGACCTCTGTTCCTCTCTCGTCTTCAATTTCTTCAATGCTAGACGAAAGAACATACACCCAAGCACCTTCAACACTCAATCGCCTCCAACCAGTATACTGGACGACACGGAAGTCATCCATGGTTGGTCCATAATGCAAATGAATGCAGCCATGATCAATACCGGTAGTAGTCATCTGGTTCAAAACCCGCACATGTCCCTCATCCTAGCTCTCACATGACTCACCCCCGACTTGAACTCTGAGCTGCCCGCACGATCACCAGTACTCAAACAGCACCAAAACGCACCCTGCGACCCCACACCACCTTCCTCCTCCGGCCCAAACCACCCACCAACCGTGGACCCTTCCCTGGCCGGTCAAGAAAAACCGTGCTGCTGCGAAGGGATGCCATTCTTCATGGCGGTCACCACAGGGTACCACAATTTGCTTTGCGCCTGGCGACCACACGGCGAAGCTTCGCGGCGAAGCGTTGCGGGGGGTGCGGGGCACACGCCAAAGGAAGTGGCGACTCAAAAGTGCGCAGCTGACAAGAAGGAGCTTGTTATGTGGCTAGGTCTCCAAGCATGGGTGAAGGGCGACTGGGTTCCTGTCTTCACAGCACGGCCAGTTTATTCCATCTGAGTGGGGCATTCCGGCACCAATTCCGTGGAAGTTGAACAAGGTCTTAGGGTTTAGGGTTAGTAAAAATGACACTTGACTCCCTCGACCTGTTCTTCTTTCGCGGAAAAAGAACAATTCCCAAAAAAACGGGTAGGAAAAACGATGAAAGACGTCTACAAACCTGCAGGTGATCCATGTCTACAAACCTGGGTAGGATACCAGGATTTTTTGGTGTTTCACCACCAAAAACCGAACACCAGGAACCTGAAGGCTTCTGTGACCAACCTTCCGGAACCCCCTTAGTCCGCTACACCGGTCGCCTGGATCGCTTCAGCCAGGCTGCGCCGCGGCGGGGGCACACTGGGCGCGGTCGGACGGCGCATCGCATGGCCGCGGTGTAGACCATCAGCGGTTCCGGGGGGTTCGAAGCAGGGTGGGAGAGAGCGGAGAGCAGTTTCGAAGCTTCTTGACATCAAAGAGACCCAGTTTCTTGAGGCACCTCCAGAGTCGAAGGCATTTGTCAACGAGGAGGTTTCTGTTTGTCAGGGGCCTTCTACTCCAAGCAGAGGCCTTCTACAAGATACCCGCTCACAAGATACCTGACTCTGCACTGGAGTCTACAGGATAGTCTAATTAGTGTTCAAGAATGTTCAAACATTCAACTGCTCCCACTGACCCTGGGAAGAACGGATGTTTGTTCAACGAATGGGGAGAGACCCACCCAACCATATGCTGGGCTTGATCGAACAGACCTACGTTCAGTCGATCGCGTTTTTCTCCGCTCGGGGACTAGACCCAAGGACGCACTAGTGAAGTCGCTAAGCGACTCACCTGTGACTCTCCCTGAAATGATCATGAAAGTGGAATGAAAACCAGCTCTTTGTAAAGGATTTCATGGTCATCCATTTCGGGGCCATGCCATCCACGTAACCAGTGATTGTTCCAGGGAGTGTCGTCCATTTCTTTGACCTTTTGGATAGTCGGACGGTGGGTTGCTTTGATGTCCAAAGGGAGGACAATGACCAAGCATTGGAGTGAACCACACACCCGATTCGTGGGATTCGCCCGCCTCCCATGCAGAATTGCGTCAGTGGTTAAACCCCACGAAATCTGGAATCCTGTGGCACTGATGGGCGAAATCTTGCACCACATCATATCCCAAAACCAAATCATACCTGTTGGGTACCCTGGAATCCACAGTTGACAGTCCTCACTGGCCCATGGTGTTTTGTGCCTACCCCCTTTCCACTGAGTTGAAAGTGGAAACCTCCACCGAGATCACCTGAGATCACCTGAGTTGAAACCTCCATTTCTTCTGGCTTCGACCTTCCCATCCACACGCTGCTGTCCATCAGTCGCTGTCAATCCGACGGAGCAACCGCTCCCGTCGCAACGGAGAACCGATGCGCTTCAGCGGAGCTCACCTCTGTTGCTTCAGCAGATTGGCTTGCTTCATGAAGGGCTTGTCCGTGTCCTTAGAGCCACGGCACGGCAGCAGCTAGCGCCGCTAGCGGCTAGCGCCAGCGCTAGCTGCTAACCCGCGAGGGCCCCCAGTGCGCTCAACCAGCGCGGGAGCCTGTGGAGCGCCTCTCACTCGCCACGGAGGGAAGGGTCGGGAGCCTCTTTCTCCTGCAACAAAAAAGAAACGACTTGGTTTGATGGGACTGGCATCTAGATGTCGTGGCCTTATGCTTTGACTTCAGTGAAGAGAAGCAGCTGCGAAGCAGCTGCGATTTCTTCAACTCACGACCGAGAGAAGCAGCTCGTTTCGTGGAGGTTTTTTTTGGTGGGTTTCGGTCGTTGGAAGTCACACAACAACACACATCCGCAGGTGGAAGTCTCCTGTGGAAGGTCCTGGAATGTGTTTACATGTGTTTTGAATCGATTTTCCAATATGTTTCAAATGCCTCTTCATCCATAAAACCAGCCAAAAAGACAGAAACTTTGCATAGCTGGAGTTGCAGGATCCAAGTATTGCACTCCGTGCCAAATTATATGGCGTAGTCACTTAGGTTCAGGGCCCCGAAATATGCTCCTGTGCCCCTCTCACCTTAGCTTCATTCCTTGGAAAATGTGCTGTATCAACAAGAACAAATCAAGTTCATTGCACTTTCATCAGGGTGGAAAAAATGAGGCGGATCTCCACCTTCAGGAAGAGAATGCGATGGAGAAACGCACAAGAAGAGGCGTCCACTTGGACATCACTGCGCTAACAGCACCAGCCCGTCACAACCTGCGCCCCGGATGCGCTTCTATCGGCGAACCCAAACAGAAGCAGGGGCACGCTGAGCTCCAAGATCATTTTCCAGCCCTCCTTCTCGCGCAGGCAGATCTGGCAGGCCCGGGTGGAAGTCCACGAGGGAGATAGAAAGATCTGGAAGCGACCCGATTTTTCCGAAGGTCACAGCATTTGAAGGACCCTGAAACCACTGTCTTCCCACATGAGCATGAACCTGGCAAGTAAGCATCGCCCACCACAGTCTGGACCTGTCCAAGGCACTCAGTTCTCCCAAGTCATGAAGGGCTTCAGCAGTCTGGATGAACTCAAGTTTGGGGGGAACCTGCCGGGAACCTGGGGAAACGAACTCAGTCAGATGGGGGAGGTGTCCAAGAAAGAAATGCAAACCTTGGTCAAAAATCAAAGACTCCCTATACAACTGTCCGTTCCCACGATCGAGGTCGTGGCTACCTGGCTCAACGCGATGATCTCACAGGCACCACGTCTGTCTCCCGTGTCTCTACCAGAGATGTTGATGAATCAAAACCTTCCAGTCTAAAAGATGTCCCATTCAGGTGGTGGGGTGCTTTGAGGAGGAAGTACTCTTTATATACCGTGGTTTCTAGAGGTTCGATGGCACGTTCGTTACCCCATAGAAGTTACCTTCAAAGAATTTGGAGGTCCATAGAAATCACCCAACCTTGGGGTCCATCCACCGGTCACCCGGTCACCACTCTCCGATCCGAACAGGTGGAGACGATCGATCGATCGATCTCCTCGCCTCGTCCTCTGTCACGTCGAGACTGTGGCAGTTATGCCGGTCTCCTGCCTGGCGACACAGATTGGATTTGATGATATCATTTCGATATATTTCGATCAATTATATATTCCAATCAATTTTAAGTTCTTTACTAGACCTGTTTTTAATCTATACCAATCATCTAGAATTCGTCTTAACCCTTTTGATCATTCTTCCACTCATTTTGATCCTGGTTTTTACTATTCTTCCCATCAGCCCATTGCTTTTTGGGCAACCGGAGACCGGAACGATCGCCCAGCAAGACGAATTCGATCGATGCGTTGACCGGCAGGTACGACAGCAGGGTACGACTCGTACCGAAGAACGGAGGAGGAGCATGCTCGGATGGCATGCTGGAGAAGCCAAAGAAACTGGCAGCGCTGCCCTGGCAGCGTTCCGACTTTCGCATCCTGGTCACACCGGTTCCACGGTTCCCAGGAAAGTCCAATCCCACCACCGGTAGCCGATGTTCATGATTGAACTCTGAAAGCCCAACCGTCAAAAGCGTTACAGCTCCAAAACAATTTGAGGACCACGAACGACCACGAACTGGAAGTCGTATAGTAGTATAGCAAAAGTGGTGCCTTCCAAAAAAATCTGAGGGCAACTGGCATATCCATCTGGGCCGATTGAAACCCCGCAGTGGTTCGAGGCTGTGCCTCAAAATAGGACCTTTAAAGACCAGGACCAGAACTCAAACTTCTCAAGTCCTATGACGTCTCTTTTCAAGAAGACCTCTTGGAGGTGGTTCTTCCTTGGGATGTGACTGTTTCTTCCTTTCCATGGTGTCCCTGCAGGTGCAGGGAGCTAAAATGCCTCTTCAAAACAATAAGTCAATGCCTCTTGGCATATGGGTGTGGGTCAACACCGGGATCCCTTGGCTAACCCGAGAAAAGGAACCTACCCTGGACTACTAGGAGGTCAACCTACCCCACTTGCAACAGCCACAAGTGGCAGAAACTCTCGCCTTCTTAGGTATGATCAAACCAGAGCCGCCCAGGAAGGTGTGGTTCTCAGGCATAGTCGCGTACCTCAAACCCAGGCCGCCGCGGCGGGAAGGGATCAGCCCCACATCAGGGAACCCTGGCCCCTGACGTCGCATGGAACACCTCCGGCCGGACACGGCCAGTGGTCCTGGTGCAGTCGTTTCAGTGGTCCCGGTCCCGGGATTCGTTTCGAACCTTTTCTTTCTGATCTACAAATGACTAGACTAGAAATGAAAGGATGGCAGTCCCCCAAGCGCTTGAGGCGCAGAAGAACGGAAAAAAAAAAGAAGGGAAAACGGCAGCACTCTTTTTGGTCACTGGCAGCCATGTTTCTTGTCCCCTGTGGAGATCACCCACGGTTGCCTCTCCTCCTCCTCCTGGAACTTGCACTCAAACCTTTGCAAACCCCAGGGAAGATCCATGTTCACAACCTCCGATCTCGGGCCCCAAACCACCAAACACTGAAGGGTGCTCGGCCAATTCAGCTGCCGTATCCCCTCAAGAGCCATCGACTCATCGTCAACTGGGCACTTTTGGATGCATCTCCAAGCCTCCTGCAGGTTAGCCACCTCATAGGCGTAGGACAAAGAAGTTGGTTCCTCTTGATCCTCTTGCAACAGCCCTTCTTGGGCCAGAGTCTTCGATAGTGAAAGCTTCTGAGAGCCTTTCATCACCACAACTCTTGCTCCAGCTTTCAGCGGAAGTCGATCGCGGATGATTCTTCGAAACCCAGAACCAGTCAGGGACTTGGGCACTCGGACCTGGAATCCATCTCCGCCCACACCCACCACCTAAATGTTCAGTTCTTCATCACCCAGTCGCTGCATCGAGTCTTTGCTAGGGCGTATGGCGTGAAGCCATGGCGTATGCAGTGCATGGCCCCTCGCCAGCAGTCAGAGACCAGAAACACTTCTAGACTCTATATAGTGTGAAGATGTTTCCATGAGCTCTTGGTACCATTCCACATCCCACGGCTCTTGGTTCGCCATGGTGGTTCTTCTTTCAAGTCAAGCAACATGTCTCGAGGTCAGGTCCCTGGAGGGAGGTCGAGTCGAGTTCCGGGACGTCCCACTGAGCCGAAACAGCCTGGGATGGTTTGGGGCCAAGCTATAACCAATGCCAGGTGTCCACGGTAAGAGCTAGAAGACCCATTTAAAAGGAATGCTCACGACTAGGAAACTCCAACTATATACCATGAACTCCTAAAGTCCCCAACTGCTTATCCTAACTTAGACTCTCTAACTTAGACTCTTGATCAATGAACCCCCAGACATGGGCAAATGTCTTCATGCGCAAAACTTTTTTAATCAAGAGTCTACATTGCCATGAAGTCCCCAACTGCTTGCTCTAGGAACCTTACCTTCCATTTTCTCCTTATCCATTCAACTATTGATTAATGGAACTCCCAAATGAAGAGGTTTTTTCAACCCAAGTAGGGGTTATTCATCAACTGTCTACGTCACCCCATGCCAGCCTCCAGCCAAGGCACAAGACCTCCGTACACCACGTTGAGAAGACCTGCCTCTTGGATGCCTTCACCGCCAACGCGGTGCCCGGCAGCAGCGACACCGTGGCCTCCTGCGTGGGGCACCTGGGCGAAGGTGTCGGCCACCGAAGCGGCACCCAGGAGCGGAACGTGGAGGTCTTCGTGTTCGTGTTGGATAGAACAGACCTACCGTAGACCTGGCCATGCCAGTCTTGGTCGCAAAAAGGAGAAGATGTTCGCTGATGACGAATTACTGTTTTGGTGATTCTTTAGTGTTGTCAATGCAACATTCTGAGATGGCAGCTATATATGCAGCTATGGTAGCTGGAAATGTTTGAGCTACCAAAAGCATGACACGTCCTCGACTGCCCACCGCAGTAGCACCGCAGTTGACGGAAGCAAACAAAGGGGGCGAGATGGCTTGCTTGTGCTCAGTGCATGGGTTTGGAGCCTAAAATCAAACCGCCATATGGTTCGTTTGATCGTCGTTTCCGATGGCATAGAGTCAGACATATTGGCCTAACGTCGTGGTCATACTATATAAGAAATCCCGTCGACGGTCTTGAAAACGATGCTCGAAGACGTTCGGTGACCCGATATTGAAAAATATCCTTCGAATTCACTTGATCCCCCCAACACAAAAATCGCCGAACTGGGAGGCCGTGCTTTTGGTTGTTCTTTCCCCACCAGCAGAGAGGGGCCTCTTTTCGGGCGTCCCCGTGGTCGGACGGCGCCGCGGTCAGGCTTCATCCCAGCGGCGTCAAGAGCTCGCAGGTGCCCCCCTCGAAGATCCTTCGCCCGAGCGCCGTGGGCCGCGTCTCGGCACCGCGCGGGTCTCCGGGCGTCTGGACCGGTGCGACGGTGAGAAGCGTTTTCCCACTTCGAATGGGGAGGAGCGGTGAGGACGGGGGACCAGCCAAATCGGCGACCCGAACGTCCCCGGACGGTGAGGACGGGGGCTCGTTCCGGAGCCACGAAGTCGTCCCTTCCAGTCGTCCCTTCCAGGCGCCCCACCCTCCGATCTGGGAGTCCAAAGGCCGGTCCTACCTGGACCTTCAAGGGGTGTCCAATGGAGGTCCCCTAGTAGTGTAGGGGCTTCCATTGGTGACCCCTTTGAAGGTGCTGGTATGACGTTGTGCAGCGGCAAAAAGGATGGGATTTGCGGCCCCTGTGCCATGTGCCACTTCCAGAACACTTCCAGGACATCCGTCGATGCCATGGGTCTTAACCTGATCTTTCTGCTGGGTCTGCAGGGTGTGTCAGGACACTACCCCCCCTTTTCGCGGTGGTACCAAGCGCTCGAGCGACCTGAACCGACTACTAGGGACTATGTAGTATATATACAAAAAGTGATCTACTTGCTTCTTCAAAGTGAGCTTTTGATAACCTGGTTGGTTCGGTCACTTAAGCCTCCTAAGGGTCACTTAGGAACCTTCAAGAGGTCACTTTGAAGAAGCTGGGATCTATCTTCTTATGAAAGAAACCTTCGGACCTCTCCAGCCTTCAGCTGTGCCCATCGCTTCCTCGAGATGATCATCGCGCACGGATTCTGAGCTGCCGTTCACCCCTCTTGCTGGCTCGAAGAAACCGCGTTCCCCGCAAGGATCGGGCTCATGAAGGTGCTCATGAATTCATTCCATCCATTCCCCTTCCCATTCCAAGCGTCAAGGTATCCATCTCATACTCCAACATCGCCTGTTTGCATTCACTCAAATTGCCCATCGGCATCTGCGCTCGACCTGGTCCCCGTTTCGGCCACCCGGCCGTTTCGGCAACGCGACCTCGTTTCGGCACCGGCCGAGACGCAGGGCAGTCCGGGCGGACCAGGGAAGGAGCACGAGAACCATGGAACCGACACACGGATGTGTATTCAGAATGTCTGCCAAATGTCTGCCAACCTTGGCTGTTCTTTATGCATGAAAAGTTGGAAGATCCAGGTATATGGTAAACATCTTCATGGGAGCTTATAAGATCTTCACCTCTGGTATACAGGAAGCATCCGAAACCTCCTGACATCCTTATTTTTACAACATCCGGGAAACCCCCAAATATCTCTCACCCCGATCGCACTGGGTAGACTGGTCTATGTCCCGAACCTGGAAGGGCATTCCAACCACGTATTGATTTAACGGTTTTTTTGCAAACAACTTTGGTTTTGCTAAGGGTTTTAGACTCCAAAACCAGGTCCACCGAACTCCTTTTCATGGTTTCGAAAGCAGCGGCAAACGCGACGAAGGCGACCCCAAAAGCGCTAGCGCTGGGTCCCTCCCTCTCAGTCTGACAGTCCTTTTGCCCATCGCCGAGGAATTCTGTGAAGTCGTTTGGCCCTCCAAACTCCAAGCCCAAACTCATCGAACGCTTTTTGGGATCAGCAAAATCCACTGTCTGCCCTCCATTCTCTCAGATTTTTCCCGTCTTCCCAAAATTCCGGTCGCAGAAAGAGGGGGGGGAGTCCTTTGACTTCGGGGCACCCCACCTCCAAATAATACGGTTTAAGCGGTTTAAGGGTCTTTGGGTTTTCGGGTCAAAAGGGGTCCGAAGGTACCTGGTTTTTGATGGAGCGGATCCATCCCTTCGCTCGCGCACGACGAAGGCGTGGACGTCTCGTTCGCTCCGTCGGACCTAGTTTGCAATGCGGAGACCATTTGGAATAAGATATTGGCCACCACTGCTTTCGGCAGTCGCCCACTGTCCTCAGAGGGGGAGAGAAAAGGGGCACCTGGAAGGGAAAAGAGCCACAGAGAACAGGGAAGGAAGAAATCTACAGCCCAAGAAGTTCCAAGGGTTGGGCTGGCCTCCGGAAATTGCGCGGCATTCAGCGCACCTCGCCATGTGCTACCTCCCCTCCCCACTCGACCTCCACCCCACACGAGCACCTCTTGGTGCATCCTCTGGAGCTACTACTGCTGGGTTTGAAATCTGCGTGATCTATTACACTAGACGACGGGTGGCCCAGAGCAAGACATGTGATTTTCCAGCACTGTCGAAAAGATATATAGAAAGAGAGAAAGAAAGGGTGGACGTGAAGGAGTGACGCGAGAGATGACTCATCCGCGTACAGTTCTCAGCTTCCAGCTCCCCAAATACTCCGCGAACTCAAGTTGCACTACAAAGTCGCCAGTTCTCAGCTGCCAGCTCCACAGATTACTCCGCGTACTACAGTTGCACTACAAAGTCCACAGTCCCGCAGCGGGTTGCGCCGGACGGACACAAGTCGCACTCTCGCCTGCATTTCGCGCACTCGACACGCACGATCTCCGCAGAGGGTTGTCCCGGACCGGGTCCAATCGTACTCTCGCCTGCATTTCGTGCACTCGACACGCACGGTCTCCGCAGAGGGTTCTCCCGGACCGGGTCAAGTCGCACCCTCGCCTGCATTTCGCGCACTCGACACGCATGATCTCCGCAGAGGGTTGCGCCGGACAGACACAGATCCCACTCTCACCTGCACTTCGCGCACTCGACACGCACGATCTCCGCAGAGGGCTGTCCCGGACCTGCATTTCGCGCACTCGACACGCACGATCTCCGCAGAGCGCTGCGCCGAACAAATCCAAGTCGCAGTCTCGCCTGCACTTCGCGCACTCGACACGCACGATCTCCGCAGAGGGTCGCCCGCGACCGGGACAAATCGCACTCTCGCCTGCATTTCGCGCACTCGACACGCACGATCTCCGCAGAGGGTTGCCCCCGACCAGGACAAATCGCACTCTCACCTGCATTTCGCGCGCTCGACACGCACGATCTCCGCAGAGGGTTGCCCCCGACCGGGACAAATCGCACTCTCGCCTGCATTTCGCGCACTCGACACGCACGATCTCCGCAGAGGGTTGCGTTTCGTGGCGGTCCGGCGGCACTGCCCCCGGCCTTAAGAGAGAAAGTTAAGAAGAGCGAGAGGTGAAGATGTGAGATGTAGATGTGAGGATGTGAAGATGAGCAGAGATGTAGATGTGAGGATGTGAAGATGAGCAGAGATGTAGATGTGCAGATGTGAA